TATTTGTTCAAGTCTGTTTTGCCGTCCGTATTTGGTTTTCCCCATCAATAAAAATAAAAGAACACTTTTAGGGCCTAGGAAAATTTCAAAACTTTGTTGATGATTGTACATGACCAATAGATGACCCCTGTCTTTAGGATCAAGGGGACAAAGGTCATGGTCACATTGACATTGTATGTAAAAACAGTTTCCAATCAATAAATAAAAAAGCTTGGGACTAGGAACTTCAAACTTGGTATGACAATTGCACATGACCAGTAGATGACCTTTATTGATTTTGGGGTCAAAGGTCAAGGTCACATTGACCTTATATGTAAAAAATGTTTCCAATCAACAACTAAAGAACCCTTAAGACTAGGAACTTAGAACTTGGTATGATGATTGTTCATGACCAGTAGATGACACCATATGTTTTTAATCAAAGGTCACATTGACCTTGTAGGTAAAAGTGGTTTCCACTTTCCAATCAATAACTAAAGAACGCTTAGGCCTAGGAACTTGAAAGTTGGTATGTTGATTATACATGACCAGTAGATGACCCCTATTGATTTTGGGGTCAAGGTCACATTGACCTTGTAGGTTAAAGTAGTTTCTGATCAATAACTAAAGAATGTTTAAGCGGAGGAACTTGAAAGTTGGAATGATGATTGTACATGAACAGTAGATGAACTCTATTGATTTTGGGGTCAAATGTCAAGGTCACATTGACCTGGAAGGTAAAAACAGTTTTTGATCAATAACTAAAGAACTCTTAGGCCTTGGAACTTCAAACATGGTATGATGATTGTTCATGATCAGTAGATGACCTTTATTGATTTTGGGGTCAAGGCATCAACGGTCAAGGTCACATTGACCTTGTAGGTATCAATAACAAATGAATGCTTAGGCCTAGGAACTTCAAACTTAGTATATTGATTGTACTTGACCAGTAGATGGCACCTTTTAATTTTTGGGTCAAAGTCACATTGACCTTGTAGGTAAAAACGGTTTCCAATAACCAATAACTCAACAACTGAATTTGGCTGGGTTGATATTTTTTATTACACTAAAAATGTTTTTGGTATACACATTTCAAGGTCTTAGGAAATATAACAAATTGGCTGTTATTATGGAAGCCTACATGATTCATTAAATTTAGGCATATATTATTTGGTACGATTTGTGTTAAATGATTTGACATAAAATTGCTGCACACAACCTTTACAGCGACTTTTCATGACCATATAACCCCTATTGATTTTTAGCTCACCTGTCACAAAGTGACATGGCGAGCTTTTGTGATTGCTTTTCGTCCAGCGTTCGGCCTTCCGGCGTCCGTCCGTTAACTTTTACTTTAAATGACATCTCCTCATAAACCACAAAGCCAATTTCATCCAAACTTCACAGGAATATTCCTTTGGTAGCAAGGGCTACCGAAAGAAAAAACCTAAAATATCTTCTTTGAGCTAGAGCTTAAATATTTGCCATGAAACATCATCTAGTCAGTGTCTACCAAGTTTGTTCAAATAAATGCCCTGGGGTCAAAATTGGCCCCGTTAGGGGGTGGGGGGGGTCATTGATTTTCCTTATTTGTAAATAGTAAAAACTTAAAAAATCTTATTTTAAAAATCCCAAATAGCTAGAGCTTAGCTATTGACCATGAAACATCTTCTAGTGGGTGTCTACCAAGTTTGTTCAAATAAAAGCACTTGGGTCAAAATTGGCCCCACCCAAGGGGGTCATTGTTTTTCCCTTTATATATAGAGTAAAAACTTAAAAAATTTCTTTTAAAAAACCTTTAAAGCTAGAGCTAAGATATTTAGCATGAAACATTTTCTAATGGGTGTCTACCATTTTTGTTCAAATAAGGGTCTTGGGGTTAAAATTTTGCCCCGCCCTGGGGATCATTGATTTTCCTTATATGTATATAGTAAAAACTTAAAAAATCTTCTGTTAAAAAACCTTAAGAGCTAGAGTTTAGATATTAAGCATGAATTATCTTCTAGTGAGTGTCTACCAAGTTTGTTCAAATAAAAGCCCTGGGGACAAAATTGGCCCTGCCCAGAGGGGGGGGGGGGGTCATTGTTTTCCCTATATGTGTATAGTAAAAACTTAAAAAAAGCTTCTTAGATCTAGAGCTAAGATATTTATCATGAAACATCTTCAAATGGGTGTCTACCAAGTTTGTTCAAATAAAAGCCCCTGGTTAAAATTATATACAGGCCTATATACAGGTGAGTGATTTCAGGGCCATCATGGCCCTCTTGTTCAGTCACTAGGTCAAAAGTCAGTCATAATAACCTGACCACATAGCTTAATGGCTGCAGATAGGGGGCATACATGTTTTACAAACATATAGTTTTGCACTTGATATTTGATTACTGTCGAGTCAGCTTGCGGTGAACTCATCTTAGTAGCCACAATTTGGTACAAATGTTCACCATGATGAGGCGGTGTGTCACACACAAAACCCATGTCTGCCTCTTAAATGTCAAGGTAATACTTGGGGGTCAGGGCAAAACCTGTGTCCGCAGCGTAATTGCCACATGCATGGAGGGATTTTAATATAACGGAAAAATGTTCTCCATAGTGTTCTCCATAGTGAGGGGGAGTGTTGGGCAAAAAATTCCAGTGTCTGTGGTAAAGGTCAAATAACAAAAATAAACATTCATTTTCGATTATAACTCCTACTATACATGAATGAATTTTGATAAAAGTTAGCACAAATTATCACCATGTTCAGATTCAAGTTGTCTTGAGCAAAATGAAGTTCAAGGTCAAAAGATTTTTGGCACATGTTTATGCTATGAAGTATCATGTGGTCACAGGATTTTTGTCGAGCGCTCGACATAGTTGTCAAAATGGGTGAATGTTGTTTGTGTGTGCCTGCGTACATTTGAACTAGTCCATGCCATAACTTTGTGCATGGAGGAATTTTTAAATAACATGAATTGAGTTTTTCAGACACAAATGTTCTTCATGAGACTTCGTGTCAAGCACATGAACCAGGGAACCGGGTCAGAGGTCAAGGTCACGTAAGATGATGCAATGTCATGATTTTGCCTTGGTATAATAAGGATGTGTTGCGCACTTCTCACCTATGTATACATCTTTCTCCTTGATCTGAAGCTTTTAGGTTCAGGTTTGAATTAAGACAAGGGGGCTCAACATTCTGCTTGTGGGCATGTCTAGTCTCTACTGAAATTATTTGATATTTTCCAATGATAGTACAACGACTTGCATCTAGATTATAACATAAGTTGCCTAAAAATGTTTATGCCTTCATTCGTGATTGTACTGTTCTTCTGTATTTCTGTTGATCAGTACAATCTTGTCCACTTCATATCTCCACAAATAAGTGATTGTCATCAAACCTTGTGCCTTACATTTGTACGTTTCATTTGGATTTAAAAATTATAAGAGTTATGGCCATTCAAATTTCGATTTACATGGTCTGTCCTCTATAGGGTACAGTATTGTAATAAAACCTTTAGGAGCATTAGTTAGATCAAATGGCATTTTATTAAATTTAAACACTTTGTGGCAACAGAATTCTGTTTTTTTTATGTCACTTTGCATGTAGTCTCATTAGGTCCCTATAAAGCATAGTGTTTGCACGGTCTGTTTGGTATAATGATGCTTATGTCAACAGGCACTAGTCTGATTTGAAAGAAACTTTCACTAAGGTGATTTACATCAAGCCTCGTTTCACATACTATTTGCATCATGCCAAAAAACATTTGTTGTGAATATGAACCTAGGTTTGTAAAAGGTTAACATTATTGCTGACACTGGAGGTCAAGATCATAATTCCATATCTTCTTCCATGGGTTATTGTATTTGTTTATGAACAAACTCTGTACAAGTATAATAGTAACACAATTTTTTTCACATCTATTTTTTGTCAGGAGCATTTTAACTCTTAAACATCCTTCAATTCTTTATCTGATTTTCTTTACACATAAAGGTGTATTTAGGATTACCTGTTGTAAGGTGTGTAACTGAGATTACCTGTGGTAACCTAGTGGTTAAGGTGTGTAACTGAGACAGCCTTGGTAACCAAGTGGTTACAGTGTGTAACTAAGATTACCTGTGGTAACCAAGTGGTTAAGGTGTGTCACTGAGATTACCTGTGGTAACAGAGTGGTTACGGTGTGTATCCCAGACTACTAGTGGTTAAGCTGTGTATCCGAGACAGTCTTAGTAACCAAGTGGTTAAGGTGTATAACTGAGACAGTCTTGGTAACCAAGTGGTTAAGGTGTGTATCCCAGACTACTAGTGGTTACCTAGTGGTTAAGGTGTGTATCCCAGACTACTAGTGGTTACCTAGTGGTTAAGGTGTGTATCCCAGACTACTAGTGGTTACCTAGTGGTTAAGGTGTGTATCCCAGACTACTAGTGGTTACCTAGTGGTTAAGGTGTGTATCCCAGACTACTAGTGGTTACCTAGTGGTTAAGGTGTGTATCCCAGACTACTAGTGGTTACCTAGTGGTAAAGGTGTGTATCCCAGACTACTAGTGGTTACCTAGTGGTTAAGGTGTGTATCCAAGACTACTAGTGGTTACCTAGTGGTTAAGGTGTGTATCCCAGACTACTAGTGGTTACCTAGTTGTTACTGTGTGTAACTGAGATTACCTGTGGTAACCGAGTGGTTACGGTGTGTAACTGAGATTACCTGTGGTAACCGAGTGGTTAAGGTGTGTAACTGAGATTACCTGTGGTAACCTAGTGGTTAAGGTGTGTAACTGAGATTACCTGTGGTAACCTAGTGGTTAAGGTGTGTAACCGAGATTGCTTGCCTCAAACACAAGAATCAATTGTTATAAATCCATAACTTTGTACTACCACAGCATTGGTTAGCCAAGGAAATATTATATGAACATCTCTACAGACTTGCATGTATTAGTACCATATGAAAATCCTTACTATGTAAACAGCTCATTGATATCTTGCCATTTCATAACTATTCCATAACTGTAATTGTGTGATTAATAAAAATAATAAAGAAAAATTAACACATTTCATCTTTCAACATTTATTGTATAATATACAATAATGTTATATCAACATTGCAACAATATCACATAGCAAATGTTCATCTTTCAGTTAGAAAACAATTATAAAAATCATACTATATACTAAGTAAGACATTAAAAAGTGGTTTGGTGATGATGAAAAATCAATGAAGTATTTACTTAATATAATCCTTTTTTTTTACTTTTTCCAGTTGATAAATTAGTAATTTCAGATTGTTAAATAAATATACCTGAAATTCTGATATCTGAAAATACTAAATATACTACAAGAACACATCTTTGACAAACAAAGCAAAATCGAATAATCTTTTAGGTTCCAAATAAAAAACAATCATGAGAAACCCCTGTTCTCAATCGGCTTTACTAACATAATAAAAATAACAGAATATACTTATAGAAATAGCTAACTAATACTCTAATGATAATTAACTTTAATAGTGATAGTAAAAAAAGCACTTATAGAGCCAACAATGTTTCCCTGTAAACACTGAGGCACATGCACCCGATTTGTAATATTAACAAAATTGAATTGATACAATTATGACAGATAAAAACATACCAAGGACCAGTATCATACCAATGATACCACTCTTATTTTTTTGACAAACTTTACAAAATTATATTTACTATATACATGTTCTTTGAACCAGAATATTTACAAAATGTAAAAAATAAATATCTAGCACAAGTCCTCACTGTATGAATTTCTATGAAATATATATAATTATTATATTACATTTAATGAAATGATCTTTTCAAATTCAAACTAAAACAAGTACTCTATTACACAAATAAACATATCTCATTATGGTTTTACAAAACAGCAGTACCACAAAGTAACAAATGCAACTAATAACCTACAAAAATAACATAAACCAAGTAAATGTTGCTTATGAATACAGGTTAAAATCAATCAATGTTTCATGTAATGTGTCAAATTATTCCAAATTTAATGATGTTACTTACGATACTAGAAACATAAGCATTCGTATTATTCTATATTTTCATAATCTGTGCACTTTTAATTTATTTTCATCAAAAATAAAACATTTTGATTTTTACATAAACAAATAATATCTTCTGAAGTTGATCACTTATATGATTCAAATTAAAACGTGCCATTATTCAATAACTGTTGATTAATTTCCAAAAAAAAGGATCATCAATAATAATACATGTATGTAAAATGACATTGTTAATGTATTTGAGTACCCTTAAAACTTTGAGTGTGTACACTGTCAGGAGTAATCTCCTGGGGGACTAGGAAGTTCATCTTGAGTTGGTGTACTTGCATTTGATCCTATTTCGAAAACTTCAGGAGTAATTTCAGGAGACTCCTGTTGAATAACAAGTTTAATTTTGCTCAGTTTAGAGTATGTAGGTGAATGTTGTGTCTCACTACAAGTCGGATCACTAGGCAAAGATAAACCTGTATTAACATGTATACCTGAGGTAGATATTTCAAAATTTGTTGTAGACTGGGAATTTGATTCTGTTTCCAGCTCAGAATCAGCTTCTGTATCTTTTGCCATTTCTTCAGGTTTTAAACAAGTGTTTTCACTAGATTCTATAGTCTCAGCTTCCAGATTTACAGACTGTGCTGAAGCTTTAATTTCAGATTCCTCTGCTACAACAGTATCTAGAACAACAGTATCTGGAATAGCTGGAGAACTAGTGGGCTCCATTGGTGTTTCTACCGCTGGTGAACTAGTGGGCTCCATTGGTGTTTCTACTGCTAGTGAACTAGTGGTCTCCATTGGTGTTTCTACCACTGGTGAACTAGTGGTCTCCATTGGTATTTCTATCAACTGTGGAACAGCTAGAGAACTAGTGGTTTCCATTGGTATTTCTACCAACTGTTCAGGAACCTCAGCAGGTTTATTACTTTCTTCTTCTTTTTCATCATTATCAACAAAATCAGTCGTTTCAACATTTGATTGTGAGGGAATATCTGTGTCACTTTCAAGTACCTGAATTTCAGGTGGTTCTGTTTTAATTCCAGGAATAGAATTCGTTTTATCTAATAAACTGTCATTCTGAACACTTGGCAAATTTTCCACTGCTGGTTCCTCCTTTATTTCTGGCTCCTTTATGAGATCTGGTTCCTCTTTTATATCGGCTTCTTTAATTAATTCGGGTTCTTGTTCTTTCAAAACCTCTGGTTCCTGCTTTATTGTAACAGGAACTATAATGTCATCTTGGGGTTCTGTCTTTATGCTAACACTCTCTGGTTCACTCTTATTCACCTCAGTGTCCATTGGTTCTGGCGTATCAGTTGAAATTTTTCTCTCTTCCTCAAATGAAGCATGGTGACCATCCTGTGAAGCTTCATCATATGTGAGGGACTTCCTTGATAAGTAAGTTGGTTCCCCTACACTTAGAACTGATGGACTTGGCGTTCCTTCAGACACCTAAAAAACACATATTAACTTGCATTATAGGCTGTAAAATAGTCATGTACTAGTAATAAAGTAGTCAATAAGGCAAAAGGAATGTTAACAGAAACTCATCAAATTATTTGTAAAACTTCCTCCAATAAAATTTCATACATAATTTTCATTCCTTGTTTTCTTTCCCAAAAACTTTATATTAGGGATTGCCTTTGTGAATGTTTCATCACCATATGGTAAGCATATAATTAATTTCTGTTGATAAAAACAACAACAACTTTAACCCAAATACATCAAAATAAGTAGGCAACTGCCATTCCCAATTTAGTTATCATCATAATTTGAAGTCTTCTACAAAATCCGGAAGTGAGGTTGATAACTTTACATAGAAAAACTAAACAATTGACTGAATGTTAATTAACAAGGATGGGATATTTTGTATTGTAACTATGGTAATATTTACATCTGTATGATCTTCGTAGCATATAGGATGGTATGTTTTGTTATTGACTTTAATTGCATCCCTGAGATGCCATTCCTCCAACTCCTCATTCCAATACTGCTCAAACACTTCCATACATATATTGCACATCTGAAACATAACTTATTAACTGTATTTCACATTCCATTTAACTTTTTCATTTAGATCTACTATAATTGAAAGCTTTAGATATTAATACATAAAATACTTCCCTTGAAACAAATAAAAAATACTAAATTACTTATTTAGTAAATAAAACTTAGGATTTGTTAACAAGTCTAAACAATGTCCTTAATGAAAAAGAAGAATGCAAGATTTTCTAGAGGTAGAAAGATGAACTTACATCTTCACTATCATTGCCTGTTGCCGGGGGACACCTGATGACAGAGACACCCTCGGGTACAATAAGTGATAGAGGATTCTGGGTGTTGGTCTGGGTAACATCAACAGGTTGTTGTTGCTGCTCAAAGAAGTTGCTTTTACCTGCAATCACATTACAAACTATAAATTTCTATGAAAAAGATCAATGGTTATTCAAGAATACCTGGAATGATTTAACCTTATACAAATTTGAATTGAATTTATTAATAAAGGGAAGAACACCACAAATCAAACACCAGGTAGTTCTGAACTTTTATTTGATTATAACTTGAGAAAACTGTGAAACTAATATACCTAATAGGGATTGGTGATTTTGTGATTAAGGTGTCTGTCTCTCGGATGGACATACCATGCGGTCTTGATGTCATAAAATGGTAAATGACAGCCAGACAATGGCACCAAGCAAAGATTAGATACTTTATATAACTATTTTTGACTTTTACCAGCCTAAGTATCAACTTTTTACTGTATGTCTGTGAAACATGATATATGCAGTAACGGAGATTAGTACAAATTAATCTGCTATCACATCATTTCACAGATATCTTAAGAAATGTGGGAGCATGGACATGTACTCTAGTGGATTTTGTAGGGGCCAAAGTATCAGATGGTAGTAACAGTTTTGACTTTTCCTTATAGATTTGTCAATGCTCTCCGGTTGTATAGTGCTCACTGATACTGTGTGTTTTCCTACCTGACTGCATATACTTTACAATAAATTAAATTTAAGGCATTTTACAAAATATCAAATTATTTATTATAACATACCAGTTTCATCTGAATCAATAACTTCTTCATACTGTATCCAATCCTATGATAAACAAACAAATACTTTAACTAGCCTTTTAAAACTTAAATAATGTATAATGCTGTTCCATACAATATTGGAATTAAGTATTTAGTTCATGTAAAGAAAATTTAATAAATTTTATTAGAGTTTTATACACTGCATGGAGTTTGAAAGTGTTAAAGATAAATTTGAGTCTGAAAAATGTAGACTGTGTAATTATTTGTTTGATATGAACATAACAGCTGCAGATTGTAACATCACATTTTAATTACAGATAAGTCTATTATCAAATTCAATCAAAAGTTTCAAACTTACATCAATGCCATAGTACCACTTCCTACAACTGCTTAATTTCATGTCAGTTTTACCCCTTCTGTTCTGCCTGAAGTGCCAGTCTAAATGTTGGCGGTATTTTGCTTCTTTCTCACCATCTTTCAATATAAACCTCTCCCCACATGAAGTACACTGTACACCGGAGTATAAACGTTGTATCATTCCAACTGGTAAGCTAAAATGGGATAAAAAAACATAATAGTTAATAAACCATACAAATATTCTGATCTAAAAATTATGTGAGCATTGCTATGTTTTGAAATATTAACTTTGAATAAATTATAAATTGATTTTATGTCAATGGTCATCTTAAACTGATTGTCAGACATATTTTTCAATAATAATATCACCAAAATCGCCTTTTTCCAACTGATGTCAAATAAAGACAGAAATCAACTTTTTTCTAATTAAGGTCAATTAAAGCTTGTTTGTTTCTCATTATACAAAGATTACACCCTCCGTCAGTTTTTACATTAAAAGTAGTTACAATCTGTATTATTCCCCAGATTATACTGAATAATAGGCAAGATGTTGTAACAGTAGCTGTCTGAATAAAGAATTTAATCATTTTCATATCCTTATAATGCAACACTTTTATGAAAAAAATTGAGCATGAACTGTCCAAGGAGCAGCACACTCCACTTTTCTCAGTGCAGGATAGCAAACTGAACTTTGATTAAATTACCAGTATTATGTTGAGCTATCACAAATACCAGTGACTGACATTTTGACCTGAAAATCAGTGCGACAAGCAGTACTCATATTGGTGCATCTGTATATAAGTTTTAATGTAATTGTGATATTAGTATATAGGTAAATTAAGTAACCTTAACCAAAAAAGTTAACCAAACAGGTTAATGAGACAAATACAACCAAGTTGGTCACAAGAACAGCTCTACTGGAGCTAAAATATTATCTTTTAGGTAAACTATATTTTTTTCTCATTTGAAGTATGGAAAATGAAACATGAAAATAAGATTACATACCTCTTCATTTCAACCGTATTCATCTCTGTCATGTCTGGTATATCTTCAAATTTCTCTTCTGGTTTCTGTAACATAATAACATATCAGTAAGCTGATAACAGTTCCTTTCAAGTAAAAAAACAAAGAATTCATCATTTCTAGCTTTCACAATACAAACCAATATTCAAATTTGCAAAACAAAACAAGATTGCATTTGAGAAAAATGCTATGCCACCGCATTAATACCTAAGCTCTAGGCCTTTTGGGCATTTACAAGAAGGTATTTCAAGTTTTTGAAGCCTTGTACCTTGTACCTACAGACAATAAGATTTTTTTATTTTTTACTGTATGTATATATTGAAAATCAATGACCCCCGGGGCGGGGGCAATTTTGACCCCAGGGCTATAATTTGAACAATCTTGCTAGAGGTTCACTACACAATGTTTCATGCAAAATATCTAACCTCTAGCATTTGTCAATTGCTAGAAGAAATTTTTTTAAAGTTTTAACTATATACATATAACGAAAACCAATGACCCCCGGGGCAGGGCCGATTTTGACCCCAGGGCTATAATTTGAACAATCTGGGTAGAGGTCTACAACACAATGCCTTATGCTCTAGGCCTTTTGGGTCTTTACAAGTAGGTATTTAAAGTTTTTACTATATGTACATATAGTGAAAATCAATGACCCCCGGGGCGGGGCCGATTTTGACCCTAGGGCTATAATTTGAACAATCTTGGTAGAGGTCTACCAGGCAATGCCTTATGCAAAATATCTAAGCTCTAGGCTATTTGGGTCTTTACAATAAGGTATTTTAAGTTTTTACTATATGTACATATAGTGAAAATCAATGACCCCGGGGCAGGGCCGATTTTGACCCCAGGGCTATAATTTGAACAATCTTGGTAGAGGTCTACCAGACAATGCCTTATGCAAAATATCTAAGCTCTAGGCCTTTTGGGTCTTTACAAGAAGATTTTTTAAATTTATTCTTATAATTCCTTTTGGTTGCCATGGCAACCAGATTTCTGCATGGAATGAAATTCTTTGAACAACTTTGGAAGCCCTTCACCCAAGGATCAATCCTGCCAAGTTTGGTTGAAATTGGACTATTGGTTTTTAACAAGAAGATTTTTTACGTTCACTATATAATCTATATAACAATGACCCGGGGCGGGGCCTATTTTGACCCCAGGGCTATAATTTGAACAATCTTGGTAGAGGTCTACCAGACAATGCCTTATGCAAAATATCTAAGCTCTAGGCTATTTGGGTCTTTACAATAAGGTATTTTAAGTTTTTACTATATGTACATATAGTGAAAATCAATGACCCCGGGGCGGGGCCGATTTTGACCCCAGGGCTATAATTTGAACAATCTTGGTAGAGGTCTACCAGACAATGCCTTATGCAAAATATCTAAGCTCTAGGCCTTTTGGGTCTTTACAAGAAGATTTTTTAAATTTGTTCTTATAATTCCTTTTGGTTGCCATGGCAACCAGATTTCTGCATGGAATGAAATTCTTTGAACAACTTTGGAAGCCCTTCACCCAAGGATCAATCCTGCCAAGTTTGGTTGAAATTGGACTACTGGTTTTTCACAAGAAGATTTTTTAAGTTCACTATATAATCTATATAACACACACACACACACAAACAAACACACACACACACAGGTGAATCGCTATATGCCACCGCATCGCAGATGCTGCGGTGGCATAAAAATAAAAAATATATAGTATGCAGTATATATAATTGTTAATTTGGAATCAAATGTGTTTTTCCGTTTTAGACATACAAATTGATTTGGCAGTAAATCATGCACAGGTTAAGAAATTAATAAATTAAGTACCTTTTTCTGTGGTACAATATATTCCTGAGGTTTAACAAGTTCTGGTTTACTCGTAGATGTCTTGGCAGGGGGTTCTGGTTTCGGATCTGTATCCTTTTTAATGATACCCGTGTTGATTAACTTGGCAAACAGACTGTTAATATCTATAGGGGCTGTCGGAGCACTTGTTGTTGATACAGCTGGGGGGAACAAATTTGCTAACACATTTGGAACACTGGACTGGGGTGCTGGAGTACCTAGAGAACACAAAACAAACATCTAAACTGAAAGAAATTATGCAAATCTCACTTCAAGAATAGTTAAATGAAACTGTAAATGTATTAATAAAAAACATGTATTCCCTGCAATTTATAAAGTTGTTTTATTTAAAGATATAAGAAAAATGACATGCCACACTTCCTTGTAAAAATAAAAATGTCTGTTTTTAATCTTAAAGGTAAATGAAATATCTTACCTGTAACTGGGGGACCAATTCCAGGAATAACAGGTGCACCAGGCATTGTCATGACAGGTGCAGAACTCTGAGGTATATTCATTGGCTGGGGCATTGGAGGTCCAAAGGGTGGTGGTAAAGGACCACCTGGAGGCTGCATAGGTCCTGGCATACCTTGAGGTCCTAAACCAGGCAAAGGCATGTTTGGTCCCTGTGGACCTCCAAAACCCATGGGTCCTCTTGGTCCGACAAATCCCATTGGTCCAGGTCCTGGTCCTGGCATACCAGGTCGCATGGGAAGTGGCATACCAGGAGGTATTGGCCTTGGTTCTTGAGCAATTTCTGGTAATATCTTGACCTCTGGTGGAGACCCTGGTAACTGTACCATCAACACTTGGTTGCCTACATTGATCTCTTTTGGCGCTTCATTAAACTTCATTTCAAACCATTTTCCATCTACAATAATTTCGTGGCAAGGACCACCCAAAGCTACATAATGATATCTGTTACCAACCCTCAGTTTCACAGCATGGTCAGTGAAGATCTGGTACAATTTACCATTGATGAAAACATCACGAGGTGGACCGTCAAATCTAATTCCATGATCGATTCCTTTGATATTTACACAAGGTTGCATCATGTTCAGCTTCAGCTCACATCGGTTGCCATCAATAAGTATATGTCTTGGTGGAGGGTCAAACCGTAATTCCATTCTCACTTCATCTATAAACACAAACCTAGGCTCTCCACCAAATCTCCCTTTCTCTTCCTTATCTATTAGAATCATCATATCTCTACCATCAATTTGTACCTTATGAACTTTTCCGTTGATATTGATATTTTTTGGAGGGGCATCTACTCTCACTTCATAAAGTTGACCGTCTATCCACAGATTTATTGGTCGACCATGATAAAACAATTTCTCCTTCCTTCCTCTGATTGTTACATCTTTTACTCTTTCTCCAAACTTGTACATCAGATTATCATCTATCACTATCCCTCTTTTAGCTGGATCAGCAAATACCTGAATAAAGTCTTTATTCCAGGGTACTTTTCTTGGGGGTGCACCTAGTTTTATTTCAAAATTTCTCTTGCCAATAATAACTTCTTCACTTACAATAGGACCCATTTCATCAAAGCATCTAAACCTAGCATCACCAAATTTGTCAATATACGAGTCAGATTGAGGCTGTAAAGGCCTGGATGTTCTATTATTTGGAGGACCCTCCATTCTTGGACCATCAAATCTTGGAGGACCCTCCATTCTTGGACCATCAAATCTTGGCGGACCCTCCATTCTTGGACCATCAAATCTTGGTGGGCCATCTGGTCTAGGACCATCAAATCTAGGTGGGCCATCTGGTCTTGGACCATCAAATCTTGGTGGGCCTCTAGGTCCAAATCCCTGCATACGAGGATCACCCATATTTTTTCTAAGACCAGGTGGAGGTCTTACAGGCATTGCATCAAGTAAAGACATCAGTGGTTTTGGTTTATCAGGAAAAGCTGGATCATATTCTTCTTTTAGCCTATCATCTCTATGGCCATGTCTTGGTGGACCATCCTTTGGTAAATGTCTTTCATTTGGATGCATTTTACCCGGGGGTCCTCTCCTTGGTTCTTTTGATGGACTATCACCTCTCCTTTCATGAGGAAACCAAGGTTCTGCACCTTCTTCAGGAGGACCAGGACGTCCAAAAGGACCTTCTACAGGTCCCCTGTGATGAGGGGGTCCCCTCATTTCATCATCCCATGGATGTGGACCTTCTTCCCAACCACTTGGAGATCTATTTACATTCATGTCTTCATCTCTACCATGTCTTCTGTCACCTTGTGGGCCTCCTCTTCTGTCATCACGTGGCCCTCTCCTATCATGAGGGGGAATATCATTTGGCCCTCTGTAACCAACATTCCTGCCATCTTTAAATCTTCCAGGATGTGCCCTGTTATCAAAATCACCATCACTCCACAATTCAGGTCTTCTTTCATCACGCCACCTTGGGTCTCCAGAATTTCTATTATCATCATCTGGAAAATGCATTTCATCAGGCCTACCTTCTAAATATTCAGGCCTTTCATCTCTACCTCTTCTATCAATATCTCTTCCAGGTCCCTTAAATCTGGGTCCCCTCTTATCTAGTGGTTCTTCCGGACCTAATCTGTCCGGCCAATGCTCCTCTTTCCAGTGTTCAGGTCTTCTGTCATCATTATCTCTATATGGACCTCTTCTATCTCTTGCGTTTGGTGCATCCTCAAATCTTTCATGAGGTCCTGCTCTATCGTAATCAATGTCTGTCTGCATTCTACCTTCAAAGTCATCATGCGGACCATCAATCCCACCTCTTCTTTTTTCAATGAAATCCCTGTGTGGTCCTCTTCTATCACCAGGTGGACCTCTCCTGTCATCTAGTGGACCTCTTCTGTCATCAAGTGGACCTCTCCTGTCATCTGCTGGACCTCTCCTGTCATCTGGCGGACCTCTCCTGTCATCTGGTGGACCTCTTCTGTCATCAAGTGGACCTCTCCTGTCATCTGGTGGACCTCTTCTGTCATCTGGCGGACCTCTCCTGTCATCTGGTGGACCTCTCCTGTCATCAAGAGGCCCTCTCCTGTCATCTGGTGGACCTCTCCTGTCATCTGGTGGACCTCTCTTGTCATCTGGTAGACCTCTCCTGTCATCTGGTGGACCTCTCCTATCATCAGGTGGACCTCTTCTATTGAATTCATCATTTCCTTGACTTCTGTGTTCAGTAGGTCTGTCAAATCTCCCTTGAACATTTCCAGGTATATCTGGATTAATAAAAGGTGGCGGTCCTTTTCTACCATCATTCCTCGGTTGTCTTCTATCTAAGTCTCTCCAAGGTCCATCTTCATTTGGCTCTTTCTTTATCACAATATCTCCTCTTGGTGGAATTAACTCACCTTCAATCTTAATTTGATTTTCCCTCCCATTGAAAGGACCTTGACCTCTGTATCGGTCTTCTTGAGGTGATTCAGGATACAAATTGCTTAATTCTTTCCTTCTGTCCTCATCTACAACTCTTTCCCTATTCTTCTTTGGAATTTTAAAGTTATCCAAAGGTCTATCTGGAGATCTCACTTCCCTCACCACTGCATCAATAGTGGGCATTTCTGGTTCAGGCTGTGCTTGTTGAGATGGCAAAGTTAGTTGGCTGTTATCAGGGACTTTGTCACCAGGAGACAGTAACTCACTAGAGAGACGACGGTTTTGCTCCTGGAGTTCTTGCAGTTGTTGTATTTGCATCAACTGCTTTAACTGCTTCAACAATTCTTGGTACTGTTCATGTGTTATTAGGCCTTCTTTCAGTTGCTTGTTTGCCTGAAAATGTCCAAGTTAAAATGTTAACTGTATTTCTAGAACATTTAACACATGGCAAAATGGTCTAATAAATTCAAATTAAAACTAAATACATGAAAAAATATAAATAGCTAGAGTAAATATTTTTATTCCTCCTACCAGATTTTGTATCCATTATTATCTCAATGACAAAATAATCTGCATACATGTATATGCATCTATGATGTCATTGTAAGCACAAAACAAACTTTTCCTCAAATATCTATTACAACTGAAAAATGTTACTGAGTGAACAGATTTCTTAAACACCCCCAAGGTTATATTCTATTGAAGTTCACAAGGCGTATCTCCAAACACTGATACCTACTGTGGACACATGTAAAATTAAATACACATTATAACAATCTATTGTTGATTCACACAGAGCAGATGATCACTCAAGGATTAAGATTTAACTGTTAAAAAGGCCATGTAATGATGTATATATGTCAACAAATAAAGCCAAGTACTGTCCTAGGATGATAATTTGGTCTTAACAGTACACGGGGTTATCTGGATTATTATGCGATATGGTAAAAGTAAACACATATACTATATAGCATTATTCTTACAGTATTGTTTGTGTATTACCGTTAAGGCTCTGTCGGTAGATCGAAATTATTGTAACTTTTAGTGTTTTGTACTCATAGGTTCGAACCCCACTTAGTGCCATTTTATAATCACAGTTTTTTCTTCTTGCTCTGTTTTTTATCATTATAATTATTTATTTATTTTTCGTTTTCCTTTTTGTTTTCTTCTTGTAATATATATTTTATAGTATATATTTATTTATTTTTATTTCTATTCTTTTTTTCTTTTTGTATTTTTTGATCGCAGTGTAATAAAATATTCGATCTCATATTCATGTATGTATATGAAAAAACCGGTCAAACTTGTTTTCTGAACAATTGACTGTTCTGAGGTAAAAAAAATGTGTCGTACCAGTAGTCGAACTTCTGCCTGTACGGATAAAACACATTACTGACACGGTTGCTCTACCTACTGCGCTAACAAGACATATGATAACATGTAGTTTTATTTTCATTTTTATAGGTTGTGGCATTGATCTGTCTAACCTATTTTTCGCATTGTTATTGGTCTTTGTTATGTCAACAAAGGCTCAAGTTATCATCCTAGGACAGTACAAATCATTGTAACAGTAAATTTAGTTACATTAAAAACAACCAATCTAAATTGTTAACTTACATGGGTAACTGATTAAATGTTGAAGAGTTAGCATAAATGACCTGCAGTATCAATAGTCTTCTCCAAATTAAAGAAAATAACAAAAGTTTGAAAGAAGGGTAGGATGACTTGAAGTCAGAGATACAGACAATTTGAGAATCATAAGCATTCTAATATATCAATTTAAATATGCTAAAGGGACATAACTCTAAAAATACTGATAACTTAATTATGTCTCTTGACTACTGATGTGCCTTGTCGACATAAGTTTGCTAAGAACAAGTACAATTATTTTGAATAGATTTCAAAATTTTCTATCATATAAGTAATTTTGAAAAAAAAGAATGAGCTAAAAAGGAGAATAACTTAAAAAATTTAGCTTTCATAATATCCCTCGTCTTACAACTGCCTTGTCATGTTAAGCAAGTATTCCAAGTTTCAAGTTGATATCTGTAGTTTTCTATGTAATGAGCTACATTACAGTTTTTGTACAATAACAATCATTGAATGTACAACCTAGCAATCTCTTTGCAAAGATGAGCTAAAAAACAAAAATCAAAATATTTTCGATATCTATTCTTACTTTGAGCAGTATTTCACCATGTTGATTCATGGACAGTTCCTCTGGTATTTCAACTTGTTCAGAACTGGAAACTTGTCTAGAGAATTCTGGTTGATGTACCCGTAAATCTTCATCTTCTGGCTCTTCCTCGATCCTGGCAACATTAATAATACAACACGTTATGAAAATTGAAAACATTCCTACAATTTTTAACAATATTATACCTTACCAACACACCAGAATCATATCCAGCACTCATAAAACTTAATAGCCTTTATCATTTATATAATTTAGCAATTTTATGGAAAATTTTCAAAAGAAATACTTGATAATACTATAATTCACTCATTTTCACAAGAGAATTGACCTCTTCATATAGACATTCAATATTCATGAACATTCTACACACCAAATTTAGGAATCATTACCATATAGAATGTTTAATTACATAGTTTGCGCATGTATAAAGACATGCAAGAAGTAGGGGAATTACCTAGCTTGTATTTCAGTGACAGAATCTTGCCGCTGCTTCTTAAGCTCGATATCATAAGCGTATTGATCTGGTTGACTAGCCTTGAACTGATCCCATCCTTTACTACTTGGAGACTTGAGGGGAAGATGTTGCTGTTTCTGAACACAGGGGCGATAATCTTCATCTTCTTCACCAAATAAATCACTGAAAATGTTACATCAATGACTTAGTCAAATGTACCTACTTTATTTTGAAATTTTCATATTAATAAAAGTGAGCAAATATTATCAACAAAATATATTAATGACTTATCAACATAACATTCCAAATTATATCAGTCATGGCAAGAATCAAGTGAGGAATCTACTAACAACATTTTTATGATGGTCTTTGGTATGAACAGGACCAAACCGGCAACTTCACACAATTGAAATCTACCACATAATACTCGGGGAACTTCTGTTTTAATACCGATACTACCCATATGATGGGTATTTACCAACATCAAAGCTTGTATTTACTGCCTGTGGCAATTTTATAAACTGATAAAGTATGAAATACTGAATTAATTCCAGCCGATTCTTTTGCAATATCATAACAAACATATTTCATTTAGCAGAAATAACATTTTTTTTTAATCCTGAAACAATTTTCGGGAAAATTTTCTGGATTAAATCATCAATAAATTTTACTTGTAAAATGGTTTACCTTATATCAGCATTAATCTTAGGAACCTCAGCTTCGGTGACACGATCCACTTCAGTATCAAGATCCATAGGCTCAGAATCTAGGTCCATATCTTCTGATTTCAAATCTACATCTTTAACAAGCTCATTGTCTTTTATTTTACCACTACTGTGACTTGTTGTTTCTCTCAAAGTGTCAGTTGAAGGTTTTTCTAGTTTAAGTTTTTTAATCATTCTTCCATAATCTGATCCATCACTACTACTTCTTTTTTCAGCTTCTTTACTTGGTTTTCTTCTCTCATCAATGTCCATTGACTCTACAGAACTTGACTTTTTTGTACCATGTTTTCCATCAACAGCCTTATTTTTGTCCTTTTTAGCTCCGACTTTACTGGGAGCTTTCTTGCTATTGGAATGTGTTGAACTTTTTTGGGACTCTGTTTTTTTATCTTTTACTTCATCAGACTTTCTGTCTCCTTTTCTATCTCCAGTACTGCTTGAGCTTTTGGATGAATATAGTTTTGGTGATTTCTGAGGAGACTTTTCTCTAGTACTTTGTTCTTTTGATTTATCTGATCGTCTTTCTTCACTCTTTCTTTTTAATTCATTTTTCTTCCTTTCTTCCTCCTTCCTTTTCTTGTCAGCCTCTATTGTCTCTTTCACTTTTGATTCTATTTTACTTTCTTTTTCTTTTGATAAACTTCTGCTTTTGGATGACTGATGATTACTTTTCTGAGGTGATTGAGACGAGAATCCTCGAGACTGTTTAGAAGAAGCATGTGTTTCGCGTTCTTTTGATTTCCTTTTTTCTTGTAATTCCCTGCTACTAGAAATTCTAGGGTCTCTCACTTCCCTACGTGCTTCTATATTTGTAGCAGTATGTTTTTCACTAGAGTATTTATGAATTGATTTATCACTATTTCTATGATTTCCATGTTGATGATTTCCATGTTGATGCCTATGTTCAACTCTTGGATCTGTAACATGTCTTTTATGTTCCACATGAGACCGTGGGTCTCGAATATTTGACTGTTTAGGTAAATGAGAAACATCACGACTTTGTGAGCTAGACCTAGAGCTTGAATCAGAATCATTTTCATCACTAAATTTGGCACAATCTTCTTGAGCAAAGACTTCCCCACTAAACTGTCCTGGCATATTAGGAGGCATACCCATAGCTGGAGGGTATGGAACACCAGAGGCAGGCAGTCCATTATATGGCACCATCCCTGCTGGTGGTATCTGACTGACAGGTAACTTACCTACAGGGTAATGTCCCTGAGCCTGTGTTGGGGGGAATGTTGGCTGACTAGAACTTGGTATCACAGGAGCTGTACCTTGATATGCACTATACCCAGGTAATGAAGCAACAACTGTATCAGGCCCTGTCCCTGTAGTAGGAAATGCTTTCGGAGAGGATACAACTTGTTTCTGGAGACGTGGATCTCTCCTTCTAGGGTCAGTTGGACGTGGACGAGGATCCCTGGATACAATTGCAGCTTCTGGTACTGGCAATGATTCTTCCAAACTTGGAAGTGGTAAACCAAGTGGGGTAGCTTTTGTTGTAGTGGCAACACCTATCTGACTCTTAGCACCCTGTAAAATATAATCACATTTCTAGACACGATTTATATGTCGAAAGGTTTTAATATGAATAAACAAAGTAAAGATCAAGTGGCATTATTCCAGCTTTATTTCTTTATATACCAAGTACAGATTTATATGTCTTGCAGATTAAAGCTGTACTGTGAATTAAAACAAGTGCACAAGTCCTCTAGGTTTCAAGGGTCAATTTAATATATCTTCTTTTTTTTGTTGTTAAAAAAATTACCTGTTTCTTTTTAAGCTTTTCTGCAGTTTCTGCAAGTTCAAGTTCCAGCCTTGCTTGTTTTAAACTGAGCAATTCTTGTTGCTTAGCAATAAGTTCACGTCTCATTATAGCCTCCTGATCCTCAAGGTCATCTGTTGGCTCCTCAATAGTCTCTGGTGATGAATGCTCACTTTCACTGCTCTTCTGTATGTAAATAAATAACTTAACTATACCATTTGCACAGCATATCATTAATTTTATAATTGGGTTTAAAGCCAAGGCATTTGAAAACAGATGTGATTCAAAGACAATGCCAAAAGAGTGGTGACATGGGCAAAGTGGTTTACACTTTGGATTGCTGGCCCTTGTGGGTTTAAACCCAGTTAGGGGCAAGCTATAGGTCTATCGCTAAGTACTGGTTGACCCTTGGATGAAATTCAAGGGTTTCAATAATCTTATAGATACCAATATAATCAAGCTAACATCATTTACATCAATTCATTTAAACTTAACAAGTGAATGACCTGAAGCACTCAAAAGGAAATGACTTCCTCATCTCTAGGAACTAAGAAAGAGCATTGATCATGTACAATTTCAGATTCCCTGTAAACAGCATTTTCTCGGAGCTCTCATATGTTTCCAGTTTTATCCTTTAAGTTAACAGTTATCAGCTCAAATCTGAATTAAACACCGACAAGGTTTCCGGTCGTTATTTTTTTTGTTTTATCATAAAATGTTTGTGAAGTGGTACCATTTTCATTAACAAACTAATCAACAAGAGCCTGGGTGAACCGGGTGATGCTCCTCGAATAGGTTTCGGACACAGAAAAGTATACCTTTTGTAGTTTCAGAGTTATGGCCCATGCAAAGTTCAACGTGCAAAAATTCCAAGGCAGAGCAACTGGTCTTTCCACTGCACTTCTACCCAATGAGATCTATCTACCTACATAGTTTCATGTCGATATAATTTATATATTCAGAGTTATGTCCCGGACAAAGTTCAAAGTATAAAATTAACAAAAGGCAATAGCTCCAAATTTAGGCAAGGTAGAGTTATGGTTCTTGTGCACTGCACATATATCCAATGAGATCTATCTTCCTACAAAGTTTCATATTGATACCTTATTGTTTCAGTTATGTCCTGGACAAGAAAGCTGACTGACGGACGGACAAAGCGGCGACTATATGCTCACCCTTTGGGGAGCATGATTTAGCAGTTCCAATACAAAATAAAACCAACACAGTCCAGTGAAAAACACCATAATAAATGACATTTTATGTACTCACCCCTTGAAGAAATCTTGGATTTACATGTATACTAGTCTGTTCTGGTTCTTTTGCATTGATGGGCCAAGCAGGATCTAACAGACTGTTGATTTTTTTATCTATTTTATACAGGGTTGCATTGGGTAACATTGTTTTCCAGGTCTGTCTCAGTTTAAACATTGAGGATCTGGTTTTTTCATCCACCTATTAAAAGGGACAACATTAATTTTGATCACCATGTTAAGAAAAAAATTAATCTATTTGTTCAATCAAGGTTGTCCAGAAGGATCTACTTCCGACTGATTTTAATGCTTCTGCCTTCTTTGAACAATAGATGTGCATTTGTAAATTTTACTTCAACATTTTTCAGATTTTGTAAATTCTGTTTCAAGTCCTGTGGAGACAAGCACTGCCAAAGCTTTTTTCCCATGCACTGTTAGTCCATGTTCAAAACATTTGTAAATGGCACATGTTCATTATGTTAATGAGCATTGTGATGAGAAATGAAGTTAAAGATGGTACAATAGTCTTGACCTATTTTTTATCTTTGCCAAGTTAGAATAATAGAAAATATTCTTTTTATTTCAAATGGTCACCGGAATTTATCAAGTTTTGTATGTCTCTTTCGCCTACTTGGCTTGAATTTAAATTTTGTGAAGTTCACTAAACGGTAGACAAATAGCTCTCAAGTTCATATTGATTTTTCCTTTTCATTTTAACCAACCAGTTTGCCCTATTCAACTATTTTTCACAAGTTTATATTTCAAAGAAAGACAACTGTGCTTAATGTTTCAATACATCTTTAACATTGTTACCTCCCTTGAGTACTTAAAATCTCTTCTTGTAAGCAATAAATTGCTGCACAAACTTCACGTCAATACAATCGTGATGTTAAGAGCTACAAACATACTAAATTTTAGTTCATATATGATTAACAATTTGCGACAATTGTTCTTGTAGGAATAAATTAACAACAATTTCCTTCATTTGGTACCTGGGTTCTTTTGCTTGTTTTTGGTTTTTGATGAAAATAATAAGATCATAATTTTTGTCATCTTATAGTTTTGGACAGTTATACACGTTTTAAAGAATCAAACTTTGAATGAATAAATCAGGAATTTGAAAACTGTGTTAATATTGACAGCTTATGCATATTTCAAATGCTCAAGTATTTATTTTTTTATCATCACCATATGTTACCCAATAATAACTGAGTAAGGGCTATTTTGTTATGTCCTGGGACTAGTTTTACACAATTCATTGGATTTAAGTTATCTAAACTAAATTATTTATTTACACTATTGATTTACATTTTTATTACATTTACACATTTTCATAAAAACGTGAATCTTGCTTGTTTTAAGCTCTCTGGATGTTTACTTATAAAATAGTTTATGACTAAAAAAAATTCCTATACACTGGTTCATGAACTATAAATAGCAACAAATAATTTATTTCTTCCCTTTTCTGATACATCTTTATACTATTTTTTCAGCTCCAAATTTCAACAGCTTAGATGAAATTAGAAAAAAAAATTGAATTAAAGATAATCAAATTCGGGTAAAAAAATGTCAGATGTGTTTACTATCAAAAAAATCATTTAAAAGTATAAAAAAGGTTATGCACATCTGAGCCTATTTTGGTATCTTACATACAAATTTCATTTTAAAATAAGTGTTAAAAAAATGTTTTGTATCCACAGAGTTCAACGGCAGTTAGATAAGACTGTGTGCCTTCATGACTAAATAACCTCGAACATAAAGGGTTATGTTGAATCTGTAACTTATCCAATGACATGTTCATGTATTTCACGATCATGAATAATTTACATGATGCAAGTTTAAGGAGACAAACAGATCAATGTTCTTTGTATGAACATCATTAAATTTATTGTACTTTACTTTAAGTTTATTTTCATTTAAAGTGACACAATCTGTAGATGTGACGACGGTCATCGCTACATGTGATGGAAGACACATATATACCTTCATGCATTCTTTCAGACATGAGGCTATTTATGAGTAGAACCATTACAGCAAAGTGCCTCCTTCACAAAGAATTCATTGTACTTTGTAGAATTGTAACAGAAGTGAGGTGCAAATGACTCAAGGACAGCCATACAGTATAAAATTTTAAGTCAATACTCCAATTACATTTTATCGACAATTCTATTATGAATACGCACATCGAGGTTTTAAATAATCTCTATAGTAGTTGTGGCAATAGATTTTGCACACAAGGCTTTGACTAGAAATTTTCAACCAATTCAGAAGGGATATATTTCAATTAACAGTTGTGTTGAAGCTTTAAAGATATACTATGCTCATCCTTGAGTAAAACATTTTAATCAAAGAAATTTGTTGAAATCTATGAAATTCTTACTAAATATGTCTAATTTGTATAATATAATAAATAAACTATGTATGGGAAGCTGTATTCCATATTACAGGTCAAGTAAAGTTGGTATTTTCTTAAAAAAATGTCAGTTTTTTTAATGACACAGTGTATTCATATTGTAACCACCTATAGTGTGACAACATATCTACTTAGTGTGAAGTCAAATCATGTTTATGCTATATTTACAAACAGATTGTGCAGCATTTATCAATATTTTCAAATATCAAATATGAGCATAGTATATCTTTAAGTCTTGACCAAGAATGTTAAAATTATTCAATAACTAGTTAACCTTGGACATTGTCCAATATTCATTTTCCTGCAGACAGAAGTGAATTTTCTAGTCACAATATTCAGCTGTTGTCGCGATGAAAACTTGCCATACTAAATTAAGAATTTCAGCAACTTAAAGACGGTAAAATTCAATAACAAGAGGGCCATGATGGCCCTGAGGTCGCTCACCTGTATATAGGCCCCCGGAGCGAGGCCAGTTTAAACCCAAGGGCTTTTATTTGAAACCCATTAGAAGATGTGTCATGATGTTAAGTTTTTACTATACATATATAATGAAAAACAATGACCTCCCCCCCTGGCAGGGCTAATTTTAACCCAAGGGCTTTTATTTGAACAAACTTGGCAGACACTCATAAGAAGATGTTTCATGCTAAATATCTTAGCTCTAGCTCTTTGGGTTCTTTAAAAGAAGATTTTTTAAGTTTTTACTATATGCATATAGGGAAAATCAATGACCCCCTGGGGCGGGGCCAATTTTGACCCCAGGGCTTTTATTTGAACAAACTTGGTAGACACTCATGAGAAGATGTTTCATGCTAAATATCTTAGCTCTAGCTCTTTGGGTTACTTTTAAAAGAATATTTTTAAGTTTTTACTATATGCATATAGGGGAAAATCAAATGACCCCCTGGGCGGGGCCAATTTTTGACCCAGGGCTTTTATTTGAACAAACTTGGTAGACACTCACTAGAAAGATGTTATATGCCAAATATCTAAGCTCTAACTCTTTGGATTTTAAAAGAAGATATTTAAAGTTTTTTCTTCGGTTGCCATGGCAACCAGAGTTCTGCATGGAATTAAAATTCTTTTGAACAATTTTTAAAGGTGACCACCAAAGGAACATTCCTGTGAAGTTTGGATGAAATTTGGCTCGGTGGGTTTATGAGGAGATGTCATTTAAAGTAAAAAGTTTACGACCGGACGACGGACGGACGGCGGACGAAAAAGGCGATCACAAAAGCTCACCCTGTCACTTATATGTGACAGGTGAGCTAATAAAATTACAAACATTGAACATTGATCTATAAAACAAATATGATGACTTTGAACAATAATCTTTAGGCCTTCTTTGAAGTAACAAATGAATAAATTGTGTGTTTTGGATATGTCATTTATGAAGTTTCGCAGATTGCAAAGGGGTATAAGTTAAAGTAAAAACCAGGCCTTTTCAAATGATCTGTAATCATAACTGCGAAGACATGTGATCAGTTTCACTTGAATATCTTGTTAAATGGTAAATATAAAGTTTTTGGCAAAACCATAACCAAGTACTGTACAGATGTAGAATAGGCCTCGACAAGTTTTCAAATGTAAATGATTTCAGGCTTTTTTTTAGAATTCAAACATTATAGACTACTTTTTGCATGGTTTCAAATTAATTAAGCAGAATAGAGACAAGAGTATCCAGTACTGTGAGAAGGCATTCTCTTGAAAGTATAGACACAATTAAACTAGGAATTTCTACACAAGATACTTTAAAATCTATCCTTGAGAGTATGAAAATATCAGTAACACCAATAAATGAAGCCAAATGCATATTTGACACAGCTAACAAAGTTGACTAAACATAAGGACAAGCATAAAATAGGCTCAATTTAACCAACATTAACCAGGAGTATGATGACCTTAATTGGTAGTTACAAATATACTGAATAACTTATTAAGTTCTATGAGAAAAATCTATTTTTTGCACTGGCAGTGACCTTGACTTCAACTGTCAACCTAAAAGTTGCACTTAGTGCTAGGTACTTACATTTAATGTGTAAATAAAAATATATAACAAAATTTCTCATTTAACCCTGTAACATTGACCTAAAAAAATTATAGGTCGCCTTACTAAAAATAATTTTCTTCAAGGTTAATAAGTCAATTTTTATTCTGGACTTCTATCTCTTTCATCTAAAATGTTATCCAAAGCTACAGGTTCATTTGAAGTATGCTCAATAAAACCAAAAATCTATTTTTCAAGCACTGAGAATGACCTGGCACATAAGTAATGCAAGTTCCATCCTAGAGTTGAAATGAATCAAGACACAGGTCTACATTGCAAATATCAAAGAAATTGGTTGGAAAATGGAAGGCTCTTATTAAGTTCATGTTAAGGTACCAAATTGAGGAGGTATTACAAAAATAAGAAAGTACGACAGAAGGTCCGGAGGAAGAACAAACTGGTAACTATATGCTCCATCAAAATATTTCTGGTAGCATAAATACTCGTGTTATTTACAAAATGCACATCTACTTTCTCCAAGCATTTGAACAACTTTAAACCAGACGTCATAACATCAACTGTGCTTAAATCAAAAAGCAAATTTACCAGTCTGAAGTACACCCTTCAAGTTAATAAATTCAACTCATCTCAAAATACACAAATCTTTTTGAATTTTCAGAACTACAGTACATTATATTTATCTGTTTTAAATAAAGAGCGCTTTTATGGCTCTAAAGTTACTGCCTTCAACTCCAGTTCAATGTTAATGTTTTACTTTCAGTTCGTTTTTGTTTTATAAAGATGCAGCATGCAACACAACACAACAGTGAAGCAGATACAACTGCTTGCTTAGTTCATCGTCTCATGTTCTGTATTTGATCATTCCAATTTATTCATAAAGTTTCACATTATATTTAGCACTATAAAATCCAAATATGAGTGTTCTAGCATTATCAACTTCAAACAGTCTTTTCAACACCTCTGAGGAATATATGAAATCCTGGTCTTCCATTGTTAACATCCTATTCTTTGGCAGCTGTTTATCAAAGTAGTCTGTTTGTTAATATTCCAATGTTATAATCCAGAATGGTGTAAATCCCACAGCAGTATCCGGAGATATCCAGAGCTGAAAATATACTTTACACAAAACAAAATATGTGCCAAGAACTGACACAGTATTGTATTCCTCAAAAAGATTTGTTCTGAATTTCATTGAATGTTTTTATATTAACTTTGTATACAAGATAATATTTCAGTAGATTTGTAAATCCTAGGCAAAATGTCCTGAAATGATCATTTATCTTGCCCAGGTAAAAATCGTCAGGAAATATTTTCTATACATGAACAAAGTTAATATATACATATCTATATATCTTATTGTGCTTTCTAGACACGAACAGAAATTCATCAGAAACATCAAATAAACTTGTGTTTAATTAAGTAATGAAATTATTTAATAATTATTTAAGTTAAGTAAATTAATGCACACCTGCTCAAACACTGATGTGAAAGTCTGAACAAGATTCTTTGCAAACAGTGACCTATAACTGGTTTTCTCTAAATTCTTCATTATGGAGTCCATCAAATAAAGAGCTGGCAACTTTTCCTCTGGCTTACACTGTGGATATAAAAAGAGAGTTAACACATGCAAATTTATACAGTCAATGTGTCTGCACTAAGAAACTCCATCAGCCATCAACCACCACCACTACAGGTCACCCAATATCCACCAATGACAAACTTCTTGAATAAGTACACAACACACATCCACTGGAACAAATCTGTAGATAAGCACATGCCGTGTAACAGACAAACATAATAGTTAATCAAATTAAATAAAAATATTCATTAAAATGTTACAGGCTATCAGCACCTGTATACTTACCATACAATACAGCTCTACTACAAAAATGTGTAATTCATGTGTATCGAATATTGAAATTTAGGCAAATTATTACCTTTTCAGGACACTTTACTTACCGAAACTCTGTTTCAAAACGCCATTGAATCACTTTACTAACATTTGAATGAAGAAAAACTTACCTAAAGAACTTACCTTATGCAAAAAAAAACACACACACAAAATAAGATAAAAAAAAACTGCCTCTTCCAGGTTTTTTGTCTTAAAAGTCAAAAATCATTGTTATGCATGTAATCAATTAATCTAAGAGTTGATTTGCTAGTCTTGCAGATATCTTTTCCTAGACATTAAGTTAATAATGTTAAAATCAAATATATCTAAAGAAAGAAGTTATGCAATAATCTGCTTAAAAATGGAAAGAAAACTTAACCATTTTCCGTCACCTTCCTTTTCATCCATTTTCAAAAAGATTATTGTAATGTACAAATAAATATATTGGATTTTATCATCATTTTCTTAGTCTGGAAAATAATGTATAATTTCTATCCATCATTATTCCTTAGAAAGCATTATCTTGTGTTAATGTTTGCCAAACATTCAATAAACGCCACCTATTACAGAATATGCTTGTTCGGTTTTTCATATTTTGACAAGACCATAGTAGTGATAATTCTTATGCAGTTATGCATCGCCATCCATGCTCACTTCGAATTCCAGCAAAACTGATTACTTCAATTCAAGCATAACAACTGGAATCAATACCTCGGTTTTAAAATTATTTGAATCCAGCTGTTTGACTTACTGGTTACAGCAAACATTTTCTCTATAATGCTCCCAGTATGTCATTATAATATTTGTTTAATTGGTTCTTTCTATACCTTGAAAGAATTTCTTTCGATAAAGTGTCATCCCGGTGATTTATTTTTATCAGCCTTAAGTGTAGATCAAGCAAAAATTGGTTGAAATTGATTGAAAATTTAATATGTGATTCTATATTTTCAGGAAGACAACTTCATGTCTTTTGTTACTTAGGCAGTCTAACAAATGTTACGTTGACGCTGTCACTTTAAGTGGTCAAAATACTTAGCACATACATATGTATGGAAATGCCAATGTACACTACACTTTTTATCTTTATACCAGTGCTAATATCATAACTGCAGGGTTATGGCTTAAATAGGGGAGATAAAGCCCCTTTAGTATTAATACTAACTTGAAAGACAATACACTAAGTACACTTAACATTGATAAAGGATACACTTGAGATGCCAATATTAGTTGAGGGAATATTATGACTGATACATATGGTTCAGTTCTTTGGATTCATATAAGTAGAATATTCCTTAAGATTACTACCACATGACACTTCATGCTTAAATGTCAGATTTACATACTGGGACAAAAAATTATCATTTTCCTTTTTAGTAGGACTGCAACGATACTTGGGAGTTGGGTATTTATGATTCAGTCCTTGACTATACAGTTAGGATATTTGTTTACTCCTAAAATTGCTGTTCCACCTTAATTAAATATTTGAATAACTCTTAAATTAAGTAAGTTTTACAATTTAACTTTGTCTTAATTCATCAATTACTTTCACATGCATTTACCCTGTTCCCAATTGTCCAGAATAATACTATACAATTACCGCATGATAGAAGTTATATGCAAATACTACTGTGTAAATCCTAAATAAACATATGCAAAATTAAATAAGTTAATGTTACTAAACTTTTTAGTCTATCTGCTTGCCACCCGACTGGCTATACATATGGGATGTACAATTTAAATCTACAAATATTGTTGCCGATGCATCATTACTAATTGTCACTTATATTGTACATTTACTGGCAGATCACTATCAAAAATTGGATTGTACAGTTTCTAATTAAGCATTTTTTGTATTTATAAATTTTATATTTCGTCTTTTTCATCTTCCAGGAAGGATCGACACTATTGTGTACCTTGTTTGCAGTTACTCGGGTAAATGCAATTAACTGTGTAGACTTAAACATTCAACTTTCGTATTGTCTCATTTCATGATTTTTCCTTCTGTACCGGCATTCTTCTATACCTCAAGTCAAAGGCATTTTAGTTTCCAGAACCTAATTTTACTCAGGTTAATGATCCTTTAAATATTTGTTACAACAGGACTTATTTCTCTACTATAAATAGAAAAATTAAATTCTCTCTTGGAAATTCTAAATCATTTTAAAAACATTCACGCACATCATTATCTTTAACTAATTACACTCTTATTATGTTTCGACATGTTAGCGAACAATAATCACTAGAGACAGTTCACTTCAGCAATGGCATAGACGTGTTAAGTAGGAATTTGTTGCTAAATTGTATCAAAACTTGATGTAAAAATTTATCATCAAATGATGAAAGTATCAATTTCGATTTAAAAGTAATACAATATTTGTGGTTTATTGCTAAACCCTACCTTTTTTTAAATTTTAGAAAACAAGCATCAAGTTTCAATAACTTAACAATAAATTCGTACTAATTTTTTCCTTTAGGCCTGTTGGTTTTCGTAACAATACAGAGCAACTAATGAGGGCATAACTAATGATGCACCATGGGATGGAGTAATCTTTTGGTCATACGACACCATGAGTCTATCTCAACAGTCTACAATCCTGAAAACTTACACAAACATCCCAAAAATTGTTTAATAAACAAATATTTATTAGTGATCTAAGTTTTCAAATTTGTAGAGAACTGTCATATAGACAAGTTGGATATTATTAGTACAGTATGGTCTTCGTATTTTTACACTGGTCAACAGGACTTCATCACCGAACCCCTTCATCACATATTGTGAAATTTTAGACTGTATGTCTTTGTCTAGGTGTGTCTAGTTAGGCTGTATTTTAAAAACAGTCATCCAACTGGGTCCAATAATAAGGACTGAGATATACTTTTCTCCAAAACAGAAAATGTTTGAACCCTTCATTACCACCAACGGTTGTGAGCGTTTATTAATCAATTAACTAGTGCAATGACTAATTAGCAATTTTCTCAACTTTATTACTTTGTCAATTTATATAATACAAATGAGTAAAAACAGATTGATTTACACATTTTAATGAAAGGTTTCATAGCAAAGATTAACAAGAGATTCTACAAAAAATTTAATTAATGAAAACTGTACAATTAGTGCAAGTTGAATATTACATTTCCCTCCTGGTGCCTCTCGACGTGTATTGGTCACGTGACACCAAACACCTCGTGACCAAGGAAAAATAAAGAATAATTTGATAAAGAAATTAGATTAAAATCACGAATTCAGATCTTTCAAAACTAAAATTAAACCTTGTTGAGGTGGTCTTCAATAACTTTAACAATCGCTGGCGCGTGTTGTTCGTGGTCTTCAGCTACCATCGTTAACATATTGATCAACGGCTTGCTGTTGAAATTCAGATCCATCAAGGACGCCTTGTAATCGTTCTCCACCTCCTTAGACAAAGCCATTGCTGCTGTATGTAGGTACTGAGCTATCTGCTTTTAAATAGTATCACAAACGAGACATGTTACCCTCATATATATGAATAAATAGTCAATAAAAAATCTTTAATTTCAGGCATCCTGTTCGTCTTTTCCGTAATGGCGCTGATGACGTAGTTTCGCATTTGGTCGCGTTTCCGATTGGTCGGTTAATTTTCAACCAATCCACGAGAGTGTAACATAAATGACATCATCTTCCAAAAAGAAGCGAAAAGCGCTCGATATTAAGTAAAAGACAGGCTTTTTATTTAGATACTTGTTCAGAACATTGTCAGGTTTATAGTTTAACATTATAACTTGTTTTCTACAGTGCCAGTTAATAGCCAGTTAATAGTTTATTTAAATACTTGTTCATAACTGTCAGGTTTATAGTTTAACATTATAACTTGTTAACTACAGTGCCAGTTAATAGTTTATGCCAGTTAAGTTAATAGAACATGGAGATTTTATACAAGTATTCTCGTCTAAAAAAAGCAAGAAATTAGGTTTAGTAGAAATGCTTTCGTTGTGATCGATTATGAAAACCTTTCTACGGTCATGAATTCGCATTGCACCTCTGCTTTTTGAAAGTTTGCAGGTTTCTTTCAGTCCCATTACTATCATATGCTGCACTTCATTTTCGAAGGGGAAGAAAAACTACTAAACTGCTTTTCTTCAGGATGAAAAAATATGTCAGGCGACATTTAACGTTTCCATTGAAATATTTCAATACCATTTCCTTGCTTTATCTTGCTTCCAGCTTAGCATTATACTTATCATATTTAATTTGATGTGAACCATTGACTGTTTACTTACTGTTTCAAAGTCTCTTTAGTACGTTTAATTAGTTGGATTAGGGATTTTAATATATTATATAGATCTACTCGTGCTTAAAACTTTTGGCTTAATGTTCAATTTTAGACTGCACTACAGAATTTCACTGCTACCGTCCATGAACAAATAAAAACACAACACATAAAGAAATAACCACAACTTTAAACATAATACTTGTAGACCAGATTGATGTCTTACATATTTGACATTGAAGGTGATTAAGTATCTAATATTGATACATAACAATTATTTTAAGTTTTTCAAGGAGTTGAAGATAAAAATAAATACATGTATGCACAATCTATAATTATTGTAAGAATGTGTGTATATGTTGTTTTTTTGTTTGTTTTTTGGAAGAACATTGCTAGTTTGTATATAACTTTAAAATAAAATGGAATATGGATGATTTAAAAAAAATCTGTGAAACCTATACCATTTTACATTATGATTAAACAGTTATATTTAGAACTTGGTTCAGACGGGGAAATTAATTACGATCAACCCACTACAAAGTTAATGCGGTCCAGAAATATGTCAATGCGGTCCTAAAAATAATGAATTTGGCATAAAAATAGGTTTTCAAAACAAAAATAAATGTAATTGATATTTTTCAACAAAAAGAATATTAACTTATTGATAATCATGAACCATAGTGAGAAGAAATTAATTGGCATTGTTGGTAAATTTAATTGCATAAATCAAGTCTTAAACCTCTGATCACCTTTCAAAATTCCATTTTATTTAGTTCCGCCCATTGTTTTCTCGTTTAGGGCACACGCTTTTTATTACTTGGGGACCATACGCCGCTTTTCATGGAATGGCACGGAAGTGTCACATTGAAGGTTCCATGATAACCGCCGTATGAACACATCTGCGGATGTTTCTAAATTCAAAATTTTACTATTTCATGTTTAAATGTTGAATTCTGCTTAAGCCGGTGCTAGGGGGCGTGGACGGTAACTTGCACTTTCCAATACCGTCCATGAACAGGCTCAATCAAACCGAGCCTGCAACATTTTCAATTTTGCCGTGTTGGGCTTTCTTTAGGGATTCTGTATTTATCTATTTTTTAAATACGCAGTTTTTTTACTAATAATAAATGATTATATAAAATCAAAATTAATGCGAGATCAGCTGTTAAAGGAACTCCACTGAGGTACAAAAGCAAAAACACGCAACATCGAATTTTTTACATAGATCACGTGAGTCGTTTTAAAATAGAAATATATTCAAGATATTATTTGAAAAATATACTCCTTTGTTGTGCTATTCGTAACCCACTTTGCAACGCTTTTCTATTTTTAGTAATTTTTATGATTAGAAGAATTACTCTTGGGAAACAGAGTGCGCAAATGATCTGAAGTATTATACTAAAGTTATTGGTCAAGACTTACATCAATTGGAATATAAATGTCTAAAAAATATTTCAACTCCCGTTATATAAAAAAAAACTTCAGTGGAGTTTAAACAATTTACCATAAATAGTTCGTGATTTGTGTTACATGTATTCAAAGTCTTTCAAATAGTATCTTTTATCTGGTTCATCTAATAGATACCAATCTGAAATTTTTTATGTCCCTTTTCTATGAATAACACTCAAAGTAATATTTTACCAGGATATGTTACAAACCGTTCATGTTTCAGTTTTAAAATCCACCAATTTTGTATTATAGAAAGTGCAAAGGAGTGTCAAATCTGCGACCACTAGCTGGATTATTCATAGATCTAATTCAAGAATTATAACAATCTGCAAAATCAAGATTATGCACTTAAAAGAACTATTTATATCAAGAGCTATTTTTGTAATGTGTTCGTTGGACCAAAATGCCGATTGCTAGTCATGAATTCATTGTAAATTTGTAAATAGAGTGTAAATATAAGTAAATAAAGTGCAAGTGTAAAATCAACATATCTTGCACAAACAATAACAACTATATTACAGCAGGGATCGATTGACAACAAATTAATACGACAAATTGACATGTCGCATTTCTTTACTGTATAAGACTCCGAAATGCACAAAAGCTGGTCAGAAATGTCCAAAAGCTGGTCTAGTGTGCATTTTAAACTAGGTTTAGTCAAAATAGGAAAATTATTGTTATAATCATACTGTGGCGAATCGTTATTCAACTGCGGCAAATCGTTATGTGGCGAATCGTTATTGTGGCGAATCGTTACCAATTCAGTGCTTTGAGCACTTTGATTTACGAATGACAGACTATTCTCTCCCTTACCAGTTCCTGTCCCTGACGGTTCTCTCCCAATCCGTTTCCTCCCCTGACGGTTCTCTCCCAAATTTGAAATATGCAGACAGTTCTCCCCCAATTTTTTTTATAAGTTATCATTTTAGTTTTGACTTAATCTAATAATATTTCTTAATGAAGATTATTAAAAGAATGTATTTTATATTAAGTGCATTTTATGTTTTATGTTTATTTGATTCTGAAAAGTTTTTTGAATTTAACACATTTTTCAGGTATTTTAATCCTATCAACACCTTCATTGTGAGAGATTAAGATTATTGAACAGTGATTGATATACACCTGTAATTATGTAAAGGTCTAGTGTTATACATTCATTTGTTTAAATAATGTAGTAACAAGTATGTTATAGAAAATAAATAAGTAACAATTGGTATGCAATCACATTTCACATTTACTTTTATACAAAATTGATTAAAGAACATGTAGTCATTAACATGAGACAATATAAAATACCAAATAACTAATAAAAATACTTATTCATCAACACCTTTTAGATTACACCTTGATTCTTGAGTAATGAATTAATAAAGACCTCAATTTTCTCTGACAGCAAACTTAACGCATATATGTATTGAACGCCAGTTTCTTCATTTTACAAAAGTGAGAAATTTAGCAATTAAAATTCATAAATCACTTTTCCTTATATTTTTTTTCTTATTTTTTAAAAGACAAACAAAGAAAAACACACCCAATAATTAAAATTAAATGATTATCCTTATCAAGTAAATTATTCAATAATTAATTTCAATGTCTAAACAAAATTTAATTTAAAAGTATACATTACATCTAATAAAAAAATCAGAATACTATACTATTATGCAAAAAAAAAATTTTTTTTATCTAATTTATATCAATAAATCATAAATATACCCATAATACTTCAATAAAATATTAATATCAATTAATAATAATTTAAGAATAATAAACTTATTCATTTATTAAACATCTAAATAGTTCAATAATAATGTATTGATAATAAAAAAGGGGGGAACTGTCAGCTTATTTGCAAATATGCAGACGGTTCTCCCCCAAAATAGGAAGAGAACCGCCAGGAAGGAAACGTTAGGGAAGGAACTGGTAAGGGAGAGAATAGTCTGACTACCTTGATTTACACTTTGCGAGTTTTCCTCATCTTTGGGATAATCAGAAGCTTTGTTTTTATATGGATAAAGCGTCTGGTAATCGTGATGAACGAAAACAACTTTCATTTAATCTGGGATAATTTAGTTAATTTTTTATCGTAAATTTCATAAAAATGAGATAATTTCATAATAATTCACATAAAGTTCTAAACCATTTATTCTCAAACACTAATTTTTACTCATTTGTAAAGTCACTTACAGCAGGAGGTAGGTCAGATTTTTCCCCCAAATCTGTTTAAACACTGTTAAATTATTAAGTTTCATTGGTATCACAAGGTATCAGTATTTTCAAACCTTTAAACATGTTAAAAGTTAAAGCAAGAGCTAGCTGTATATTTAATTTGTATACTTTTGGCGTTATTGGTTGTATTTAGTCAAAAGAATCATAGGTTGCATTTAATTTTGTGGGCTGTGAGTCTGTTACCAGACTCGGGGGGGGGGGGTAAAATACCACTGTAGCCATTTAACAGCTACTTCCCCACCTGAAAGAAATTCCTCTCTAGTTGAAAATTCCCCTCAATTTGAAAAAAAAAATCCTTTTTTTGTTCAAATCGCATTATCATGAAGCTAAATATAGATTGAGAAGAGATAGATAGAAACTGTGATGTGACACAGTTAAATTCAGTATCGGCGAATTGTGGTCTCGCAAGTTATCATATGTTGTTCCAAGATCTAATACTTGTTCTGCTTTACCTATATAATGTGACTTCCAAAATCAGAGATTTTGCAGTCTCTGACTTCCAAATTTTGAAACTTAATGTAAGCCGTGCCAGAAAGTGTAATTAAAAGTGCCTGGTATAAACTGTGACTCCAAAAATATTGAGCTTATTTTTTTGTATTGTAATAAACTTTTGTTTTTTTCTCTCGAACTCATTACAAACTTGTATTTTTATTTGACGATATTTATGACTGAATAAATATGTCACAATAAATTATTTGATAGATTGATCACAAGATGTAAATGCTGACTTGCACTGTATGGATCATTCTGAACTTTAACTATCTTTATGAAACAGTATTTCGTTATGTTGCATAATACTAGATGTTCAGTAAAAAAGTTTAAAAAAGCAGATCCTGGCGGTACAAAATGTATAGTATCATCTTTTAAAAAGTTACGTAGCGCTATTCTTGAGCCTGCTTCCATGTCATCACCACAAACACCTACAGAGATCGAGAATCCCATCCACGATAATGAAAAACCCCACCCACTCTGATCCAATTTCAGGAAGATGGCTCTGTAACTATAAAAAGGATTACTACTGGCCTGATTACTATGACTCTTTGGACTGTTGTCCAACTTTTAATTGTTTATTTTTAAGTTAATACAAGGGTTTTTTCCAAAAAAAATGTTACTTTTTGCTCTACTGAGAGGCCAGGCCTTTTTCTCCAAAATAGAAAAAAAAACTTGGGCAGTACACCTCATATTGCAGTGTAGTACATATGAAATAAATATTGCACTGCCGTTCCCATTTAGTTGTACCGGTCATTTTCCTTGTCCGGAGCATAACTTGAAGACTAATGGTTGGAATTCAAAACAACTTCATACAATGGTTAAGCACATTGAGAGGAAGTGCAGTGCACAAGATCCATAACTCCTTCTTGACTAATTACAGAGTTATTGCCCTTTGTTACTTTTCCTTGTCCGGAGCATAACTTGAAAAGTACTGTTTGGAATTCAAAACAACTTCATACAATGGTCAAGCACAATAAGGGGAAGTGCAGTGCACAAGAACCATAACTCTATCGAAAGTAATTACAGAGTTATTGCCCTTTGTTTCTTTTCCATTGCTTTCTTTTGTCTGGACCAAAACTTGAAGACTAATGGTTGGAATTCAAAATAACTTCATATAATGATCAAGCACATTAAGAGGAAGTGCAGTGCACAAGAACCATAACTCCATCTTGACTAATTACAGAGTTATTGCCCTTTGTTACTTTTCATTGTCTGGTGCATATCTTGAAAATTACTGGTTGGAATTCAGTACAACTTCATATAATTGTCAAGCACATTAAGAGAAAGTGCAGTCACAAGAACCATAACTCCATTTTGACAAATTACAGAGTTATTGCCCTTTGATACTTTTCCTTGTCCGGAGCATAACTTGAAAAGTACTGGTTGGAATTCAAAACAACTTCATACAATAGTCAAGCACATTAAGAGGAAGTGCAGTCTTCATGAACCATAACTCTGTCCAGAGTAATTATTGAGTTATTGCCCTTTGTTACTTTTCCATCGCTTTTTTCTTGTCCAGAGCATAATTTGAAAACTACTAGTGGAATTCAATTCAATTTCATACAATGGTCAATATATTGAGAGGAAGCATAATACACAGAAACCATAACTCTTTCTTGACTCATTTAAGAGTTTTTGCCCTTTTTTACTTTTTATTGTCGGACAATCTGGACAGTCCAGTGCATAACTTGAAAAATAATGGTTGGAATTCAATGAAACTTCATGAAGTGCCGTGCACAAGAACCATAACTCTATTTGGACTAATTACAGTAATTGCCCTTTGTTACTTTTTTGTCCAATGCATAACTTGAAAACTAGTAGTTGGAATTCAATACAACTTCATACAATGGTCAAGCACAATGAGAGGAAGTGCAGTGTACAACAACCATAACTCCATCTTCAGTATTTGTAGAGTTATTGCCCTTTGCTCCTTTTCCTTGTCCAGTGCATAACTTAAAAACTAATGTTTAGAATTCAATGCATCTTCATACAATGGTCAAGCGCAATGAGAGGAAGTGCAGTGCTCAAGAAGCGTAACTCGTTCTGGACTTTTTACAGAGTTATTTAATAAAACTTCATCAATGATCAACCACTTTGAAAGGAAATGCAACATACAGGAACCACAACTATCTTTAATTGCCCACAACCATAACTCTATTTCAATTCTTTTACAAGGTATTCTGTTACTAGTAACACCCGCATTTCCAAAGCAGTCTTGCGGGGGTATTAATCACATTTAGTGGTAGTTCTTGGTTTTTTTTACTTTCAAAGTGTGAGAATGTACATGTATACTAAACAAATAAGATCCCGATCCATGATCTCTGGACTGACGAATGTTCATACTTGATTTTTTTATTTTGATTTGTGATTATCCGAGTACCCTGATACTCGCCCCAGCCCTAGTACTTGGTGCATCCAGTTAATTAATACACAAGTTATTCATGAATAATGACATTTACAACATGATAGATAATCTTGAAAATCTTGCGTGATATGCAGGACCAGTGGTGTTACATGAAGAACAAGTACGCTTTTGAAGTCACTTCACATGCAGGATTATCTGCATTGGTTCTAAAAAGAATTTTGATCTCTGATGAAAGAGAGATACAAGCATAATTCCTAAAATCCAGGGTTAGAATTTAGCAAGATTTTCTACTTGCAGATTTTTGCAAGTGATCAAATGTTTAACTGGCAATATGAGGTAGTCAACTGGCATTTTCATGATCATGTATCTTATTATTATAATACACAATGACAATGTATTTTAAACATCTGGTATGACAAATGATAATAAGCTTGAATGTCTATTGAATATCAGAAACATCTTTATCACTGGTAAACAAAGATGTCTTCTTAGGACCTTCATTAATTTTAGCATATGTTGTACTTGATTACACCAACAGCCTGAAAACTCAGAGGTACTGATCTACTTAAAATAAATAAATGTTTCAGCTTAAAATTAAACACTTTAAAGAGGAGTGCTACACATTTACATTGGACCCTGATAAAACATCTTGGATGCTCTAACCATAATAGTGTTTGGCTGTTATAAATAGTCCATCAAAATATAGTCACAGAAAAAATAAATAGAGCAACCAAAAATTGGTTTTTAAGGTAAACGTCATCAGTAACTGCATCTGGCTCATTAAACATCATCAGTTTCTGCAGCGGGCAGTTGCTAAGCATCATCATCAGCTCAGAAGATAGCAATTATGTAAATGTCCGAAATAAACAGTAACTTGCAAATAAATGCCAGCTAGAGTAATTTTTACTGGCATTATTAGATTTTAACTGGCATTTTGCCAGTATGCCAGCTTAAATTCAAACCCTGAAATTATAAAGAAATGACTGATTAGGTAGATGAATTACCATTTTCAAAAAGGACTAAGGCCGTCAGAGTGCAATAATAAGAGTTAAAAGATAAAAACACATTGTTATTTGTTGTTGTTGTTTTTTTTATTTCATCATCTCTGTTTCTTTCTAGTTTTTAATTTTCTATTCTATTTTCAATGTAAAACACAATGTAAAATGTGCTGTAAGTCTATCCTTTTATAGGCATGAATTGATTATTATGTATGCATGATTATATTTATTGTTGATTTAACATTTTGACTACTTTGTGTTCACTGTTTGCAGGATGGAGGATTACAAATATTTGTTTAAGATAGTGCTGGTTGGTGAGGCAGGTGTTGGTAAAACATGTCTTGTGAGACGCTTCACTCAGGTAATGATTTAACTGTATTGTACTGTACAATAGTCCAAACATTAATACTTATACATGTATAACATTATCAGAAGGCATGTTTAAACATATTTAAGGTTAGGAGTAAAAACTGGATCTTGTTTGTTTTGTTGTTGTTGTTTTTTGTTTAGAAATTTAGAAATACCTGTTTGAAACTGCTTGGTCCATAGCTTAGATAATTGGCATATAACAGTGCATGTACCATATTTAAGCACAATAATGAATAAGAATTGTACCTTGACTTATTCAATGAAAATAAATTTCACTTTTCTTTTTTAAGATTCTGGACATCATCTCATAGACTAGCAATAGAAATTGGAAGATACACTAATATGATATAAATGAACAGGAGTGAATTTGTTGTTCAATGAACTTATTTGAAACAGAATATCACTCTTTACTTGCCTGTGCAAAGTATAAGGATTATGAAAATATTATTTGAAACCATATTTCTGCCATTTGCCAGTATTAGCAGAATTCAACTTCCTTCTAAGAAGCAACTCAAAAAGTTATTTATTATGCCTTTTTGTTAAGAGAAAACAAGAATCATAAGATGTACTTGAGCTGTTTACCTGTATTTAACAAAAGTTCATGTAAGGATATTATTTGTGTATTTATTTCTGAAACATATCATGTACTCCAGAAAATACTCTGTTAAAATATATAAATATATTTCAGGGATTATTTCCCCCTGGCCAAGCAGCAACGATAGGTGTAGATTTCATGATTAAAACTGTCGAGATTGAAGGTGATAAAGTAAAGGTAGGTTTATTCTTCTAATGAATATTTCACAAATGTTAAATGTTATGCAGTAGGTAGTAGACAATTGTAGCCACAGCCAGTCGCTTGGTTTCTAAAGGCCATGTAGGACATGGCCATGGCTTGCACATTTTTCCAAGAAAGTAAAAAAATAAGTCATTTTTTGTCTAACCTGCTATACCTAATAATCCCCTGAACATAGTAATTATATTAAAAATACACCAAAAAATTTCTTGGGGTGTAACTGTTCATGCCTTCTGAAGTGCCTCCCCAGAATTTGGCCTACATATAAATTTAAACCAAGCTATGCCTCTGACAATTTGTACTTTTTATTTTTTGAGTCAATGAACAGGAACATGTGATTTTAATTGATAAATACTGTCAAGATGTAAAAAAATACCTGATACCAATATATAGAAAAGCACATACATGTGCACATATGTCTTATAACTTTTTTGTGATGCCAAGGTTAGTAACTAGTCTGGCAATCAATAATTCATTTGTTGGAGAACATATTTGCTTAATAGACAAAGTTTTATCGTCACAAAGCTTAAAGTTTAAACATAAAACAAGTAAAGTAGAACCTCTACTTAAAACCACCCCACTTTAAAGACCATTTTTACAAGAATGGAATTTTCTGTTCTTTATGTCACTGGTTACATGATCCAGAATTAAGGGCACCCTGCTTATCCACTTTTAAGACCACCAGATTCAGTCCCAATTCTTTGTTTTATACTTTACTTGATCTCACTATTGAGATCACTGATGTTTAAGTCAATGCCTACCTTGATCTTAGATTTGTTGTTATTATCTGCCTGAATGCTCTTAGGCATGACACTTGAATTTACAAACTGTTATGAAATACAGTTAATTTATTGTACATATGTATATTGAATTACTGATCATAATGTCAATATCAGGTTTATTTATACATAGAAATTGATTCCATTTAATAGTAGTTCTACACAAAAACATGTTCTTTAAGTCTTTCCTTTCTTAAATGCTTTGTTTTTTTCTGCAAAAACTGTCATCCAGAGAATCTGATTTTTAAAGTTAGTATTAATTTTACAGGAGTATATGTATGAATTTACAAGGCATAAATGTTTTTTTTGTAAACAGATATCTAGTTCTAATATCTTGTGTCATTTACAGTGATTTTTTTCACTGTATTTTACAGCCGAATAAAGGCTGTTTCCCCTAGCCCAAAATAGGTATATTTTCCCCTAAAAATGCTAATATTTTCCCCTAAAATTTTCGTGCTCTTCATTATCAGAACAATGACTTATCTGACTTATATCAGCTAGAAGACAGAAAGCTGTCCCTATAGATAGCCTCTGCTATGTATCATGCATGTTAAATTGAATTGATATTAATTTTTTTTCTGTAAAATGTGTGGGTAAATTCCATTTTCAGTTGTTGGAATTTAATTTCAGGTTTTCCCCCTTTTCTGATTTATCGCGCTTTATTTTCCCCTTCAGAAAGCCACAGGTTGTTTTGAAAATTGGAAAAAAAATCACTGATTTATGTTACTTGATATGATTTCAGCTACAGATATGGGATACTGCGGGCCAGGAAAAGTTTCGCTCAATTACTCAAAGTTATTACAGAGCTGCTCATGGCCTCATTCTGGTGTATGATGTCTGCTCACAGAACACTTTTGATGCTCTTCCACAGTGGATCACTGATATTGAATCATTCGCTAATGAGAAAGTTCTTTCCTATCTAGTTGGTTGGTATTTTACTGTCAAGATAGCTTTCTGTGTAAATGTTTATGAATCATTTGAAATACCTTAGTAAAAGTCCATTATGGTACTGGTCTTGAAGAAATTATATTAGACTGTTTGTTTGAGCAAGTACATTTTAAAGTCAATGGACAGGTAGTTATAAGTTAATAAATTGTTATCAAAATATACAAGTTTTCATTAGAAAATAAATCTTATTATTTATATTCCTTTATTGTTGTAGTCTTATATGGATTAAAATACTTTTTAGCTCGACTATACGAAGTATATGGAGAGCTGTCCTACTCGCCCCGGCGTCGGCGTCCGCGTCCAGATTTTAGATTAAAGTTTTGGTGCAGTAAAATATTTTTCACTATAACTTTGTCATTTCTTAAGGTATCAACTTCAAACTTCAAATATATGTTCCTTATCATCAACCACATCTTATGTGACAAGGTTCATAACTCTAGCACCAATATTTTCAGATTTATCTCCCCTTGAACTTAGAATTTTCCTTAAAAAATACTATTTTTTACTGTTACTTCTTTATTTCTTAAGGGATCAACCTCATACTTCAAATGTATGTACCTTATCATCATCCCCATCTTATGTGACAAGGTTCATAACTCTAGCAACAATATTTTCAGATTTATCTCCCCTTGAACTTAGAATGTTCCTAAAAAAGTGCTATTTCTTACTGTTTCTTCTTTATTTCTTAAGGCATCAACCTCATACTTCAAATATATTTACGTTATCATCCTCCCCATCTTATGTGGCAAGGTTCATAACTCTAGCACCAATATTTTCAGATTTATCTCCCTTTGAACTTAGAATTTTCCATAAAAAATATTTTTTTTTTTACTGTTTCTTATTTATTTCTAAAGGGATCAACTTCATACTTCAAATATATTTACGTTATCATCATCCACATCTTATGTGACAAGGTTCATAACTCTAGCACCGATATTGCAAGAATTATCTCTCCATAAACTTAGATTTTTTTACTAGAAAAATGTTATTTTTTATTATAACTTTTTTATTTTTAAAGGTATCTACCTCAAACTTCAAATACTTATTCCTAATCATCAAATACATTTTATGTGACAATGTTCATAACTCTTGAAGCAATATTTACAGATTTATCTCTCTTTGAACTTAGGATTTTCTTTAAGAAATATAATAACTTCTTTACTTTTTAAGGTATCTACTTCAAACTTCAAATATATATTTCTTATCATTACACAAATGTTGTGTGACAAGGTCCATAACTCTAGCATGACTATTTCTAGAATTATTCCCCTTGATCTTGGAATTAATGTTAACAAATGTTATTTTTTTACTATAACTTAATACATAATTATACATAATTGATTTTTCTTTCATTGTTTTGTCCTCCTTACTGCGTCCAGTATTTTATTAGTCGAGCTTCGCTGTCTCCTGTGACAGCTCTTGTTTATATAGAGAGAGCTATCCTACTTACCCGGGCTTTGGCATCATTCTTTCGTTTATTTCTACCACCGTACTTATTTCCTATTCCATTTTATGTATTGCTATAAAAACATTAAATACTTGTTTTGCTCATTTGCAGTAGGACAATTCTCATGGATTTTGACAAATTTATGCCCTTTTTCTACTTAGAATTTCAGACTATAATAGTTTCACCTTATTGAAGATTTACATTTTGTATATTTAAAGGTAACAAGATAGATCGTGGAGATGCTAGGGAGATTCCCACTCATATAGGTCAGGAGTTTTCTGATAGATATGAAATGAAATTCATAGAAACCTCGGCTAAAGAGGCAGACAATGTTGATAAATTGTTTCTTGACATTGCCATGAAATTAACAGCAGAGGCTAGGGAGAAGGGACGACTGGCCCCTGATGACTCACCCATGAATATTTCCAGTAACACAAAGACGATCAGTTCATGTTCACAGTGTTTCAAGTTCTGATAACAACATTTTTGTGATACTTAAGTTTTACAAATGCTTCTTGTCAATTATGTGAGGTTTATTTTCAAGGCTATTTTTATTTTGACTTGAATTTTCACCAGATTGTTGGAATGAGAACCCTTATAGATAGGTTGACTTGATGAGTAGCTTTTTTTTTAGCTGCTAAAACTGTAATGTACACAGTTGTGTATTGGCAATGAACATTTTTATATGTTTATGCCATATAAAAAAAAATAATTTAACTTAATTTTTGCTACAGTATTGAAATTTCTTGTTATGAATGTTATAACAAACCCTGGGCAATCATCATGGTTGTAAATAATATACTTGTTGATAGCAAAAGTTTTAAGATTTTTTAACTTAAGTCACATGTTGCTGATTTTTGTAAAATTTTTAAAAATGGAAGAAAATTTTGTAATTGAGATCCATTCCATATAAGGATTGGGATGCAAGATTTAAATGTAGCTATATGCAATGTAGATATAGTACATTTTTGTGTCGCCTCTACGGAGTAGTGGCGACATATAAGGATCACTTCTCCGTCGTCCGTCTGTCCGTCTGTCCGTCACAAAACTTGTCCGGACTACTCCTAATAAACTACTGGTGCAATTTCATCCAAACTTTACAGGAATGATCAGTACCAAGTCTAGTTGTGCATATTGTCAGCATTTTCCGGTTCAATGATTTTTGTCAGAGTTATGGCCCTTTAATAATTTTTATTTTTAAAGTTTGTCCGGACTACTTCTCTTATACCACTGATGCAATTTCAATGAAACTTTACAGGATTGATCTGTAGCTCAAGTCCTTGCGCATATTGCACGGGTTTTCCGGTTGAATGATTTTTGGCCGAGTTATGGCCCTTTGATAAAAAGGTGTTTTTTTCTGTGTGTTGCCAGATACACAAAAGCTTGTCCGGACTACTCCTCATAAACTACTGGTGCAATTTCATCCAAACTTTACAGGAATGATCAGTACCAAGTCTAGTTGTGCACTGTCCATCTGTCTGTCCGTCTGTCACAAAACTTGTCCCAACATGAAATTGGCCAACATGAGGCGACACATGTTATATACAATATATTATCGTTTTCCAAATTTTTACAAAAAAACATTTTGCAATGTTTTTCTCCAGTTTGCATTTGATAACAGAAATTGACAGTTTATCATGTTTCAAATTTATAAAAGTATGAACATATTTACTTATTTTCACTTACTGATTTTAGCTCCTTAGCAGTATATGTAGTTTGGGTAACCTTTTTGCATTGTTATTTTGCTAATTATTGTTTTTTATACAATGACTAGCCTTTTACCTCCTGAATGTGTTAAATGGATTTGCCCTGCTTTTGAATTTGGAACAGTTCATAATGTTTTTAAGGGATTTCAATATCAAAATACATAAAATGAGCTAACAACAATATAAAGTGTAGCCAGGTTGTATGGATGTGCAAGCTGGCCTGGCTCTATACTGGTGACCAAGGTTTGATCATTTTCACATCCAGCAGGGCAAGGGCTAGAAACCGAGGCCACTATACAGGGGTTCAATTAACAATTAATAGATAGTTCATTTAATTCAAGTATATAGAGATAAAGGAAATGTATTACATAAATGATGCCAAAACTTAATGCTTTGTTGTAAACTTTGACTTTTTGTATAGTAGAATAGATAGTGCTTTTATACCTTTATATGATGCATGCTTCTTTTTATTTTACATAGCAGTAGTTTATTTTATAAATATTTTTATTGCATTTTGCTATAGTTCTAGTCATTTTTATTGTTTACTCAGTTTTCAATTTAATTGTAAAAAAGCTTTCTAATATGTTTACAAAATAATTTTATTTGTATTTTTAAGTCCCATTTATGTTGTCTCTAAAAGTTGTTTATTCTAGTCATTGTTTTGAGAAATATTATCCCATTTTACCTTCTGAGTTGTAGATGTACAATCAATGTCAAATTATGAAACTTTTTTTATTGTGTATATTTTTGTTAGCTCACCTGTCACAAAGTGACAGGGTGAGCTTTTGTGATCACTTTTCGTCCGTCGTCCGTCCGTCCGTCCGTCGTCCGTCCGTAAACTTTTACTTTAAATGACATCTCCTCATAAACCACTAAGCCAATTTCATCCAAACTTCACAGGAATGTTCCTTTGGTGGTCAGCTTTAAAAATTGTTCAAAGAATTTAATTCCATGCAGAACTCTGGTTGCCATGGCAACCGAAAGAAAAAACTTTAAATATCTTCTTTTAAAAAACCATAAGAGCTAGAGCTTAGATATTTGGCATGAAACATCTTCTAGTGAGTGTCTACCAAGTTTGTTCAAATAAAAGCCCTGGGGTCAAAATTGGCCCCGCCCCGGGGGATCATTGATTTTCCCTATATGCATATAGTAAAAACTTAAAAAATCTTCTTTTAAAGAACCCAAAGAGCTAGAGCTAAGATATTTAGCATGGAACATGTTCTAATGGGTGTCTACCAAGTTTGTTCAAATAAATGCCCTGGGGTCAAAATTGGCCCCGCCCCGGGGAGTCATTTATTTTCCCTATATGCATATAGTAAAAACTTAAAAAATCTTCTTTTAAAGAACTCAAAGAGCTATGGCTAAGATATTGAGCATCAAACATGTTCTAATAGGTGTCTACCAAGTTTGTTCAAATAAAAGCCCTGGGGTCAAAATTGGCCCCGCCACAGGGGGTCATTGATTTTCCCTATATGCATATAGTAAAAACTTAAAAAATCTTCTTTTGAAGAACTCAAAGAGCTATGGCTAAGATATTGAGCATCAAACATGTTCTAATGGTTGTCTACCAAGTTCGTTCAAATTAAAGCCCTGGGGTCAAAATTGGCCCCACCCCAGGGGGTCATTGATTTTCCCTCTATGCATATAGTAAAAACTTAAAAAATCTTCTTTTAAAGAACCAAAAGAGTTAGAGCTAAGATATTTAGCATGAAACATGTTCTAATGGGTGTCTACCAAGTTTGTTCAAATAAAAGCCCAGGGGTCAAAATTGGCCCCGCCCCGGGGGGTCATTGATTTTCCCTATAATATGCATATAGTAAAAACTTAAAAAAATCTTCTTTTAAAGAACTCAAAGAGCTATGGCTAAGATATTGAGCATCAAACATGTTCTAATAGGTGTCTTTCAAGTTTGTTCAAATAAAAGCCCTGGGGTCAAAATTGGCACCGCCCCGGGGGTCATTGATTTTCCTTATATGTGTATAGCAAAAACTTAAAAAATCTTCTTTGAAAAAACCCAAATAGCTAGAGTTTAGATATTAAGCATGAAACATCTTCTAGTAAGTGTCTACAAAGTTTGTTCAAATAAAAGCCCTGGGGTCAAAACTGGCCCGGCCCCAGGGGTGTCATTGTTTTAACTATATGTGTATAGTAAAAAACTTAAAAAAAATCTTCTTTTAAAAAAGCCCAAAGAGCTAGAGCTTAGATGTTTAGCATGAAACATCTTCTTATGGGTGTCTACCAAGTTTGTGCAAATAAAAGCCCTTGGGTTAAATTGGCCCTGCGACGTTGGGGGGGGGGGGTTTGGGGGCCTATATACAGGTGAGCGACCTCAGGGCCATCATGGCCCTCTTGTTATGTTATACCATTTGAATCTCAATTTTTAGATTGACAACTATACACCATGTTAACTTTAGTTAAATGTTATATATAATATATCAGGTTGTTTTTGTTAATTTGTTGGTTTGTTTTTTTAACTGGTTTAATGTATGATATGTTAGTGGAAGAACTTTTACACTCATATTTTACCTTATTCAATGCTAGTCGGTTTTAGATTTCAGTGCAGTAAATTTATATTATTTCATTTTTGTGCCAATAATTGAATAACTAAATATTTTATCTTGACTATATGAAGTATTAGTGAGAGAGGTGCCAATCACCCAACATCAGCATTCTTGTCCGGATTTTATAATATAATATATTTATAATTATGTTTATGTGTTGTTATGTTTATTTTGCTGCTTGATTATCTAATTACTACATAAAAGGATTTGCTTTAAACTTTGATTATTCCTTATCATCACCCAACATCACATATAACAAGATTTTGGCATCTCAAGTAATACAAAAATTATTTCCAGCTTTGTGTCAGTTTTTATATAAACAAAAACAAAACTGTTCTAATGTGAAATAAAATGTTTTCAACTGTACACATAAAGACATATAAATTTAAGAATAAGGATCTTATATGAAAGTCTATTGCCAGGATTTTTCTTAACAGTGCTTAGATAAAATTCCTATTTTATTGCATACTAGCTTAAGCATTGTTCATGAAAACAAATAAACAAAATACTGGTAAGGTTCTGTAGAACCAGTTTGGTGAATGAGTATAATCTGGGGGAGGGGGGGGGGGGGTTGTCATGTGATCAGGTAAAAGTAAGTCTACAATTGGGAACTTCAGACATACAATCAACATGTTTTGCGTATTAAATTTTGAATTTGATACTTGTGCCAAAAAGTTGTGTTAATAGTGTATCATGTACATATATTGTAATTTTTTAGTTTAGTTTTAACCGTTAACCTGCTAAATATCTTAAATGTGCCATGGCATGACAAAACCAATATAACGCGTTAGCGACCAGCTTGGATCCAGACCAGCCTGTGCAGTCTGATCAGGATCCATGCTGTTCGCTTACAAACCATTTTACAAGTAATGAAACCGATAGCGAAGATTATGGATCCTAATCAGACTGCGTAGATACGCAGTCTGTTCTGGATCCATGATGGTCGCAAACGCACTATGTTGGTTTTGTCATGGCACAGCTCAAATGTACTTGTCTATCTTTTATTCTGAGCAAAACCATTTATCTGTTTGGAGGGAAATTTTCAAAATATGTTCTGACTGAATAGAGTAGGTAGAATTTGTTGCCATCAGCAGGCTAAGGTTTAACTAGTGTTTGTTATTAGCTCACTTTACCAGGATGCAATCATGCTTAGCTTAGTTTGTAACATCACTGGATATTTGTCTTCCAGAAAATAATGTAGAAATATAACATTGGTGAACCTGCTACACTCCATTAAACAATCGTGGTTGTTAGACAGATGTTTTGTTGGGAAAACTAATGTAAAAATTGTTTAACTGACACAGACCATCTGCAAAAATTTGCAGAAATATTTTATGTTTAAATATTTAAAAATGCCACTGTTATTTGTGTTTAAAATGATTGATTATTTAAAAATACCAAACAAAGAAACCTAAAATGATTGATTATTTAAAAATACCAAACAAAGAAACCAACTGGATTTTCACCAAGAGGCATTCATATGTGATATTTTTATTTGAACCGTTGGAGGTCAATTCAGACAAATAAAGTAATTAACTAATAATAAACAAAGCAACTTAAGAGGGAAGCTTGTGTAGATATATATTAAGAACCTGCATCGAACATGTCAAGAGTAGTAGAATTGAACCAATGATAGTTTAGCGTTGTTGTTAACAGGGTATATATTAGTGCATTTTGTGTTTTATTTTGTTAGCATAATTAGCTGATAGAGAATATGCAGCATGTATTTAGGTTGCTGTTAGGTGGGTATGTTATACTGTTTTCCTATAACCATTTGCAGGGTATGGTTGTTTTCCACTTTTTGTGCCAAACACATGTGACATTTTAATATATATCTTGTCTTAATTTATTTTCATATTTTTATGAAAAAGTATTCAGTCTTTGTTCACATAAACAAAACATACCAGCTTTAATAATTAAAGCATTTTATTTAGTGTTCATTAGTGTTTATTATTTAATATTTAAAAAATTATATTGATCAAAAATGGTGCGCCCGTTCTACCAATTTAATTTGGTAAATACTTTCTGATAAACATGAGCCGTGAATTTACTAGACTGATTTGTAGTTTGTCGATTTACCAAAGTAAATCTGTTTCTATTTCATTTGAAATACTGCAATCCTATTGGACAAAAAGGTATTCCAACCACTAACACAATTTAATATGAAGCTCTCCTGTCTAAGATTGTTACAATAAATCTGATTTGCTTAATCAACA